TCACACACACACACACACACACACACACACACACACACACACACACACACACACACACACACACACACGCGCGGATACTCAAGCAGTGAATCAAGTTTCTCGATTTAAACCCTTCCCAACCGAACAATACTTTGCCTTTTATTCCGTTTTGCTTTCAGAACATGAAAAATGAAGAAATGAGCACCGTCGTCGTCATGAATTTGGTAAGCGCTGATTCAAAGCGTGCCTTCCACCCGAACATTTTTTTTTTTTTTCAAAGAACTTTGCAAACAGGAGTGGGCAGATTACAACTTGTCATGGGATCCCAAAGAGCACGATGGGATTGAGGTGTTGCGGATTCCCGCTTCAAAAGTGTGGCTGCCGGACATTTATCTGATTAACAAGTAAGGCGACTGACTGCATCCGTGCTGGGATTTAAAACGACAACACAGCTCACACATTTTGTCCTCGCCATGTTTTTTTGTTGACTCGTAGCAACGACGGCGTGTTTGATGTGGCGCTGCATGTTCACGTCCAAGTGTACAGCAACGGCAGGGTGACCTGGACCCCACCTGCACTCTACCTGAGCTCCTGCGGCGTTCGGGTGAGGAGAGAACGTTCTTGAGCGACAACACAACATTTCTGCTTTTTCCCTGGTCTAAACTGGATCCCCGATCTAAAGCTTTCCTTTCCGCCCCCCACGCCCAGGTGACGTATTTCCCCTTCGACTGGCAGAACTGCAGCATGCAGTTCCGCTCCTACACGTACGACTCCACCGAGATCGAGCTGCAGTACGCCCTGGATGCCAACGGCAACGAGATACGGGAGATCCAACTGGACGAGGCCTTCAGCGGTGAGGCAACAAAGTACACTCAGGGGACACTTCATTCTTCTCAGAATAATGATAGGATCAATCATCTCATCAACTTTACTTTGGAGTCAGCCAGCACTCACTCAAAAGTCTCCAGCCTGTGCCGCATATATCCCGAAAATAACGACCTCCAAATGCACATCAGACAAGCACCCTTGCTATCAATTCCTTGAATTTGGATTCCTGTACAACAGCGGTCCCCGACCTTTTTTTGCCCCACGGACTGGTTTAATGTCAGACAATATTTTCAGGGACCGGCCTTTAAGGTTGGATAAATACAACAAAATAATACGACCTGTATGAAAACTGTTATATTTTCTAAACATAATAATAAACACGAATCATGACATGAAGAACGTCCTATTTGGCCGCAACGTTCTCTGGTCGCTATGGTAATGTTTAAACGTGCCTTCAAAATAAGATACACCGCAGATACAAAGTGAATGAAAAATACGACTTACCATCGCCGCAAGTGGACTCAGTGCGTGGGAATCTCCCGTTGAGATAAATCTGGATTTTAAGTAGGACTCCTGATACTGTCGAGTAAATGCAGTCTTCTTTTTCTTGAAAGTCGTAGGCTCCTCTTCTGTTTCCTGGCTGGGCCCTTTCCTCTTCTCAAAGAAACTTTCCAAAGACTTTTGTTCTTTTTACTCATTTTGCTAGCTCCTGGGTTTCATTTTAGCGGTAACCTATCACGTGACCGAGAAGCGCACCTTCACCTGCGTCAAGAGTGACATACTGTAGACGGATGTAACAGAGAATCCGGTCATTTTTTTCAAAATAAAACATCTTTCGTATTCCGAAATGAATAAAACGGAAGTCATGAAAGTCATTTATTCTTTCTGTGCGGCCCAGTATCGAATGATTCACGGACCGGTACCGGTCCGCCGCCCGGGGTGGGCTACCGCTGCTATACAGTGCTTCTATTCATCCACGGTTCTTCCTAAATGCTCGGCAAACAAAACTCAGTTGAGTTGAGCTGTATTAACGTGCTGACTGCGCGACCCCAGAGAGCGGCGAGTGGCACATCAGACACAAGGCGTGCAGGAAGAACATGAACAAGGACCTGTACGAGGACATGAGCTTCTACCTGATCATCGAGAGGAAGCCGCTCTACTACGTGCTGAACATCATCATCCCTTGCATCCTCATCACCATCATCGCCATCTTTAATTTCTACCTGCCGCCCGATGCGGGTACGGTCTGACGCCGGCGCGCCAAATCAAAACCACGTCCACATCAACGTGCCGATGTGACTTTGCTGAGATTGCCGCAGCAACACCTTGGCGTCAACTTTGCTCTCCGCCTCAGGTGAAAAGATGGGACTTTCCATCAACGTTTTGCTCACCCTCACCGTCTTCCTGCTGCTGTTGGCGGACAAAATTCCCGAGACCTCGCTGGGCGTTCCCATCATCGTCAAGTACATCATGTTCACCATGATCCTGGTCACCTGCTCCGTCGTCCTCAGCGTGGTCGTGCTCAACTTGCACCACCGTTCGCCCAACACTCACATGATGCCCCTGTGGGTCCGCAGGGTGAGATCACGCCACGCGACAGACTGCGCGGGGGGCATTTTCCCATTGGCCCTGAAAGTCAAAGAGATTTCCTTTTCCACAGATCTTCATCCACATGCTGCCCCCGTACCTCTGCATGCTGCGCCCCAAAGTGGAAGTGCCCTTGGCCCTCAAAATACTGCCTGCCCAGCGGGAGAAGAAAGTGTTTGCCATCAGCAAGGCGGCCGACGAGTACTTCATCCGCAAGCCGGACTCCTCCATTTTGTTCCCGAAACCCAACAGGTGAGGCCACGCCTATAAGCGATGAGGTCATCCGCGTTTCTGCGTACCTCTTCATTATTGTCGGGAAAAAAGCATTATAATGAGCGCCAAGAGCTGAAGGTCAGCCCGGTAAGGGTCTGTAAGAGCAATTTGATGAGGCCGCACTTTGTCCCAAGATACACGCACACACACACACACACACACACACACACACACACACACACACACACACACACACACACACACACACCTAATTGGATTTAGTGCATGTCTTGGCACCCGACACAGCCAATTTTAGTTGAATTAGTCTAATGAATTGTAATTTACTCCTCGCTGAGGGTCTACTTTGAGCATGATGCGAGGGGGGAGAAAAAACAGAAGAGAAAAACTTGCGAGGCAAAACAAGCCTGTTCTCTTCCTCTTCCGTTATCTCGATGCCCACAAATGAGGAGCCCCCCCCCCCCGCCCCCTTCATACCTTCCCCTTGCATCACAGAGGTCACACCCTCTTTGCCAGGACCACCACTGCATCGTAAACTCATCTAGTGTTTGAAGTGAATACCAAGCAGGCTGTTTCGCGCTCAGGCCTGTTCGGGATCCAAAGCAACACTGCCCTCTGGTGGTCAGTTGTCAAACCACAGGCAAAAAGTAAAAGCAAGAATCTGAACTGCTCAGCTATTGCTACCAATTGTGAAATGTACTGAAGTACAAAAGTCTAACTGAATCGTTTGATAATATACACACAGCAAGCTCTTCATCCTCCCAACACTACAAAATCCAAATGATGACGTCTGTACGTTTTGTCATCTTATGCCGTCCTGAAACTCACCGTCAAGACTGTTTGTTTGAACGCAGGTTCCAAGCTGAGGGCAAACCATCCGACCTAAGGAAATTCATCGACGGGCCCAGTAGCTACCTCTCACTGCCACCCGAACTCAAGTCCGCCGTTGAGGCCATCACGTACATCGCCGAGGCGCTGCAGGCCGAGAAGGACTACGAAGCGGTGAGAGTTGCGCCATCCACAAAGAATCTCTTTCATGACAAAGGGGGGTGGGGGCGGGGGTTAACTATGCCTCTCTGATTCTGCCTTCCGCATGCGTCGCAGCTGAAGGAGGACTGGCAGTACGTGGCCATGGTGGTGGACCGCATGTTTCTCTGGATATTTGTCATCTTCACCACCGTGGGCACCTTGGCGATTTTTATTAAGGCCAGCCTCAATCGCGCGCCCACCGACCCTTTCTAACACGCCGTTGGAAAGAAAAAGTAAATCAACTTCGGCCTTTGTTTTTTTGGGGTTTTTTTCTACTGACTTGCGTGAACGTGTGAAAGTTGAGGTGGGTCGGCCAAATGTTGCACACGTTTGATTTTACGCGCATATGAATAAACATCGTGACTCTTCGCAGAGGAGCAGCCCGGCTTGAGAACGCCAACACACCAAAGCCCGAGCCCAGATTCCAAGTGGGAACCTCAGAACTGTGAGGCAGACGTGCGAATCCGCTAGTTTGATTCTGTGCTAAAAATATTCATACGTGTTCATCCGCGCCGGAGCGTGGATCCGGCATGGCATAAATATTCCGACGCGGTGTCAACAAATAAACACATGAGGCAGAGCAGATGCCATAATGACCCGGCTGTATGCTTTTCATTTCAATGTGTCACAATGCGCCGCGGTGTGTCACATGCTTGATGGATATTCCTGTGCCTAAACTAATCCTCTTTGTATTTAAAGCACTTATGTGTGTTTGCACAGGGAGGCTATTCTTACATGGCAGCTGTGAATAGCTTGTGGAATTCCCACTGTATAGGTGACCTTTCTGTATGTTTTGTTTTTTTTGTTGTTTTTTTTTTTTTTTTTCCTCGTTCCGTCCTAGACTCTGCGGTCGGGATGTCAATACGCACTTGCCTGCAAATGTGTTTGGTTTTTTTGTCGACATTAATTTCAATAAATATCTGAAGTGAGATCATACAAACGGCTTCATTTGTTTTGAGAATACTTGCAAGAAACACACACACACACACACACACACACACACACACGCACGCACACGTACACACACACAGACATGCGCACACACACACAAGCTGGCACTGGTTCAGTTTCCCTCATGGACTTCCCTGACATTCATATGTGTTAATACAGGGCCTGGACGCACAAAGACGTACATACATAATATAGCAAATAATGAATCCAAAATTGGATGAAGAAAAAGAAAGTAGCTCCATAGCCACACCGGTAACATTAGCTTGCCGATCGCGACATCCTGAAATTGTGGCGGCAAAGACCAAGCAAGGGGATTCACAAGGAGCCTGTGTCATTGAAGCATTTATACAGCGAGCAGGCACAAAGCAGCCGGCCGAGCTGGAGACGTTTTCCCTTTAGCCACCATCAACCTGTGGCTGATTAATGACCCATTTATGTTTTCCCTTCGGAGAGGTCGGCCGTTGCAAGGTAAACGTGAGACTCTGACCCAAGACACAGTAGCTGAAAGTTGAATGTATTATCATTCTGTGGAACACATTCTTGCCCTGACCGAAAAACACAGTGCGGTGCCATGCATTGTAATCACCGTGGAGATGTACGGTTCAAGGCGCAGCTCGGGAACGTACGTGTACTTTTTGGACCTTGCAAAAGGCACTTGAAAGTCAGTGTAGGCTGCACGTCAAGTGACACCGATAGATCAGGAAATCATAAAAATTCAGTGCACGCCACCCAAGCGCGCTCTTCCCCCAAAATATCTCCATCGTCATCGCGCATAACCCGCCGCTGGTCCTTCATCCCCATCGGACCAAGACCGCCCCTCCATTTCCTCTTTGTTCCTCCCCACCCACCGTAGCCACGGTCCCGACATTCTCAGATTGGTGCGCACCAACAGGTGTCTGCTCCAAAGGCTTCCCAGTACAAACACATTCCAGCTTCTAAAGTCACTCTCGGCACCAGTAACCAATCAGGCCGTGGTTTCCCCATCGTTGAGGCATGACCCGGAGCAGGCAAAGACAACGGCGAGAGAGTTCTTTGTTGGACGACGAGCTGCCAAAAGGTGCCAAATAGATGAGCGGAAGCGTTGACTTTTCTGAGCTGGAGCGATTGGAGAGAGCCACGTCCATCTGGGTGAAGGGGCAGAGGGGTGACCTGAGTGAGGTCTTTGGACTACCGCAAGAAGATGAGTGGACCACATAACGTGAAGGAGGTTCACCTGAACGCCAACCAACTCGTTATCCTCTGCCTTTGTCTCTCGATGACAGGTAAGCATACGACTGCTTTCTAAAATGTTCCTTTCGCGTATTTCGGAACAGATTTGGATGCAGAGACGGCAAGATCTCCTCCCTAGTACATCCCAAAGGGGTTTGATGGAGTTCTTTGACCTTCCCCAAACTAATTCCTTCATGTTGGAAGCACAGCAACGCTCATCTCCCTCCCGATTGAATCGATGAAGCAGCACCCCTCAATACACATCCTGTACGATCGTTTCATTTCACTAAAGCGCAGATTGTCATAGAAGGTCAAGAGAGGACTTTGGATTTTTACAAAAGACCCGAGACAAACGACGTTGCACACAGCTGACCACCCCAGCCATGAGAAAAACCAGTCGTGGGCCTCCTCTGATTTCTAGTGACTGCACATTTCCAATAAATGATAGTTGAGTATCACGGGCGCATGTGAAAGCAAATTGGCAACCACGATGTTCTAATTCAAAACGACTTGAGACCGCCATCTCTGGTACACTCAATAAAACATATTAACACATCATTGTTTGATAATCAGAGTCTATTTGGGGCCCAGATGGCGCTGGCATCCCAGACATCCCTTTGATCCCGCTCCCCTGCTGCATATCAATTACATTAGCTCAGTCACCTTTGCGACCCACCACACACCACCAGCACCTGCCCAGCTGACCGCTCGCGCCGTGTGTCCTGGTTGTCCTTCTTTGTGTCTGCCCCATGTCTTGTTGCGCCACATATTTGCGAGGAAGGTCCAGTTTGTCATCAGAGGACATATTTGGGTTCCCGTGTCATCAAACTTTGTGCAAATCATTGACTCCCAGTTTGCTATCCAAGCTCTTTTTTGTTGTCGCCATTTTCCTTTCGTTGTGGCAGTCCGCTTCTTACTTGACAATCACGCCATGTTTTCGTGGTTCACTGAGAAATAATAGTTCGGAAACAAGGTGGCATATCCATGTCAACCGCTTGGCGTGCGACAAGCCCAAAATGCACACCTCCGCTCCATTTCTGATCTGCATCACTATTTCGTATCGGCGTCCGTAATTGACGGTGCGTGTTGCCGCAGGGGCCTCAGAAACCGAGCGGAAGCTCCATCAGAAGATATTTAAGGACTACAACTTGAAGGTGCGACCCGCACAGTACTGGGAGGAGAGAGTGATGGTGCGGGTGGGAATGACTCTGTCCCAGCTCGTCAGCTTGGTTAGCGCACACACACACACACACACACACACACACACACACACACACACACACACACACACACACACACAAATGCGGTCATATATGACATATGGTTGACCTCGGATACGTGTGTCTACCTGACTACAGAATGAGAAGAATGGCGAGATGACGACCAACGTGTTCATGAATCTGGTATGAGAGTACAAACACACAGAATCACTCCAGCCAAGGTCACTTTTCACTTTTCATGCCCCACAAAACAATTTCCCACTCGAGTTTGACCTTTTTCCATCTTTTGCTTGCCGCTAAATGACAACTTGGGGAGGGGCTTTAAATTTGAAGCAGTACGAATGACGTATCGTGACTTCAATCATAATGGACCGCGGTAAACGAGAGCAAAGCAAATCCGCGTGGCCGTTGAAGCTGTACCATCGAGGTCAAAAGTATGACATGTTGGCAGGAGTGGAAAGACTACCGCTTGTCGTGGGACCCGAAGGATTACGACAACATCAATGTTTTGAGGATTCCCGCAAACAAGGTGTGGCGCCCTGACGTCTACCTCATCAACAAGTGAGTGTCCATTTCTTTCCGCCGACTTTCCAAATGTTGAGAAAGGCTGACTCGTTTTTTGTTCTCTCTGCAGTAACGACGGGCAATTTGACGTGGCGTTATATGTCAACGTCCTGGTGCACAATGATGGGAAAGTCAACTGGCTCCCACCGGCCATCTACCGCAGTTCTTGCTCTATCGAGGTGCGGTTCGGTCGTAGAGGTCAATCCGGTCATCATCCCAAAGCTCTTTTCGCCAACCAAGCTCTTCCATAGGTTGCGTACTTCCCCTTCGACTGGCAAAACTGCAGCATGGTTTTCCGCTCGTACACCTACGACGCCTCGGAAGTGGAGCTGCAGTATTATCTGGACGACGATGGGCAGGAGATCCGGGAGATAGTCATCGACGAAAACGCGTTCACGGGTGGGTGACGGACTTCGCTCGCCCCGAGTCATTGTTCTTGACATCCTTTCCATTTCCTGTGGCGTAACAGAGAACGGCGAGTGGAACATATGCCACAAACCCTCGAGAAAGAACGTCAAGGAGGATCTGTACGAGGACATCACCTTCTACCTGATCATTGAGAGGAAGCCTCTTTTCTACATCATCAACATCATTGTTCCCTGCATCCTCACGAGTGTCTTGGCTATCTTTGTCTTCTACCTTCCCCCCGGAGCAGGTGTGAAACTCAAGTTTTCTCGCCCTTGTCCGGGACAAAAAAAAAAAAGTGTAAAAGCGCCTCGTCGTCCGTCACACTTGCTTCGTAGGAGAGAAGATGACCCTCTCCATTTCGGTCCTCATCGCCTTGACCGTCTTCATGCTGCTGCTGGCCAACAAGGTCCCTGAGACTTCGCTGGCCATCCCCATCATCGTCAACTACGTGATGTTCACCATGATCCTGGTCACCTTCTCCGTCATCCTGAGCGTGGTCGTCCTCAACTTGCACCACCGCACACCCAGCACGCACATCATGCCCAGCTGGGCTCGCAGTGTAAGTCGAACGCCGAGTAACGTCGTCGTCTTTGCCTTTCGGATCGTATTCAGGGTTGCCCACTGTAAATCGTCTTCTTCTATGTCTCCGTGTCCTTTGCGTTTTCCGCTCAAAGTGTTCCCTAACAGCGTCCGTAAATCTCCTTTTTGGTTTTCCTCTTTGCCTCTGACCGAGCAGCGCCATTTCTGGTGTCCGTTCCCAGCTTGGAATAGTTTCAACATATCTCAACTTCCCTTGGAAATTGACCAGAGACGTTCCAACTGCTTTAGAAAGCGCTCCGATTTCTGACTTTGTCCTTCCAGTTCTTCATAAATTTCCTGCCCAAGTACATCGGCATGACACGGCCCGAGCAAGAGTGTCTTTCAAAGGAGGATTCCGGCGACCAAACGCCCGCCCCAAGCTTCAACGGACGACATCCTAGAGGGGAGTACTTCTTCCGCAACATCAACCCCGATCTCGTCATACCTTGGAGAGGCAGGTAAAGTCGTACAAATGCGAAAGCAACATTGTCTCGGCTTTCCCGCCGCCGCACCCGTCTTCGGTACATCCAACAGCCCATGTCAGTCAAGCTAAGCCTCGCGAACCAGCCACAGCCGCCAGCTCCTAAGCCACCATTTTGGTTGGGCATCAAGGTCTAATCCCACTGAGAATGTGTGAAGATTTGTGTGGTGACGATCTGTGTCACACTCAAGTTTATTTCTTCACGCTCTTTATCTTGAAGGGCCGTTTAGAGCGAGGCGCACCATTTATAAGGATGGCTGTGTTCTGATTTATCTCCTTTTTTTCGTAAGAATCAGCTCAGCAAGGATTGTGTTGATTCCAACTGATAATAGTCGAAGGGTCCCGTGTCTTCCTCATCTTTGTAGGTGCGAGAGTCCGGTGCGGCTCCAAAGGCTTCCGGAGACGGATGGATTCTGTCTGATTCTACCTCCCAACCTGAAGTCGGCCATCGCCGCCGTCACGTACATGGCCGAGCAGTTGAAGAAGCAAGATACGGACGATTCGGTGAGAAACGTGATCCGTCAAGACCTGTTTTTACAACCTCAATTCTCATATTTGAGCCATGAAACTGGATTCATTTCTTTCCAATGGTCCAGTCTCTGAATTGCATGAGACTTTTTTTTTTGTCCAATCAGATTTTAGCTAGTCTGTTGTCCCACGGCCTTCGCAATCAGTCTTGTTGGCCTCTGTAACTTCAACTGGACTCCATTAACAGTCGAACTATTTCTTTAAATCCATCCATCCATTTTCTGATGCGCTTCTCCTTACGGGTGTCGCGGGGCGTGTTGGAGCCTATCCCAGCTATCTTTGGGCAGTAGGCGGGGGACACCCTGTACTGGTCGCCAGGAAATCGCAGGGCACAAGTAGACGAACAGCCATCTGTACAAGGGACAATTTGGAGTGTTTCATTAGCCTGCCACACATGTTTTTGGAATGTGGGAAGAAACCAGAGTACCCGCAGAAAAGCCACGAAGGCACAGAGACAACATGCAAACTTCACACAGCGCTGTGAGGCTGACATGCTAACCAGTTGTCCACCCTCTCGAAACAGATCAGATCAAATCAGATTTCAAATACGTCCACACAGGGCTACACACTTGACAATGTCAGCAATCTTCTATACTCTTATTGGTTGGTCTGAGCAAAACTTGTTCCAGACAGTCGCAACTTGTCCCCTTGAATACATTTGAATAATCAGCATCTCCAGTGATAAGACGTATTTTCATGAAATATTTTTGTCGTGTTTTGAATAAATTATGATTGCGAACTGCTCCTGATGATGCACGCGGCACAGCTTGCCAGCTGTTTTCATGGCATTGTTTTGCACAGGATGGATGGTTTTTATGACGGGGCCTGTGTGTGCGCAGATGACCGAGGACTGGCAGTTCTTCGCCCTGGTGGTGGATCGTCTCTTCCTGTGGCTTTTTGTCGTCATTACTACTCTGGGCACTTTGGCAATGTTCTTGGACGCAAGTTTCAACTACACGCCAGACAACCCCTTCCCGTAAGAGGACATCAAATCACCCTCGTCAAGCGCCACACACCTCCCTCCAGGGTCATCATACGGTTGATTCATTTGAACTTGCGACACAGCTCAAGAGAGTATGTGACTTTCTGATGATCTGGGAAAAGTCCCTTTCCTTAACAGATATGCAATTTTGAAAAACAACATTAGTTTTATATTCCCATTCTGGTGCACAACAACACACTCTAGGAACATAATTGGCTTACAGAGCGGTTGAAATGTCACCGACCTATTTTCAGGCTCGCCGGTGTGCAGCGAAAGGCGCGAGACACGCTGCGCAGTGCGCACACAACTGCGGCAAATGTGTTATTTTCGCCACAGACAAAAGAAGGCCCCTTGCCATCTCCAGACTGGGACAATGAGCACAAAGGACAACACTACAGTCCACTGGTCCCCGTCCTGCTGCTATTCCGCTCAAGTTGGGCCCTGTTGCATAAGAGAAGCTTTCAGGAGCAAAACAACAGGGATGAAGGAAAGGGCGCCGCCCCCTTTCGGTCTTCAGGAAGAAGCCGCGAGTGGGCGCTTCACCGCTAATGCCTCACGAACTTCCAGGGACACTTGTGGGACTTCAATCGTCAGACTAGCCCTCCTTTTCAAGCACTTGAGACCAGGAGGAGCCCACAGAAAAGCGGAGGGGGAGGGAGTGGGGAAGCCCCGTGCATGTGAGAATGCTGTAAGTGCTTGTCTGGGGGCTGATTTAGCTTTTCTTCAGTTGACCATTGAACAACGGTTGAACCAGCGAGTCAAATGTGTCTTTACCGCTCAATAAAGAAGTGAAACGTGGAGTGCAAGAAGAAGTCAGCGAGGGGGCGGCTTTAAAGAGCAGCGCACTCTTTTTGTGTTCTCTACAAGCCAAGATCATCAAATAAATCAGGTTACCAATGGCGACAGCATCGGTAGGCCCCAGACTGTCCACAATCCCCCCCCTCCTCCTCTTTGTCTTCTGTAATGTGGAAAAGATACATCAAATGGGGGAGATCCAGGGCAACAATAAGGCATTTCTTGTCAGCTGCGAGGCAAAAAGCAAGACAAAAGGTCAGGGCAAGTCACCGCAAGGCCAAAGAAGCTGGTGGCGGACATTTGAATCTCCGCAAAAGTGACCGGATGAGAGATTGCGCGATGTGCCGCGGGGAAATGGGACCATTTCACCAAAAGTACCCGAAAGTCAAAGCAAATGACATGCCAAAGAAAAGAGCGTTGCTAACAACTCCATCAAATTTGAAGAGTTGAAAAAAAATCACAGTTCTCTCCAGGCTCCGTCAAACGACGTGCAACCACGCCTCCACCAGCCAACTGTCAATCAAATACTACTACTATAATCGACAAAAATGGATACTACTTTGTCTGGCAGTTTTCCTATCCCAAAAAGATCTACATGTTTCCAAATGAAGCCGCTTAACGCCTCAAGTGTCTGGAACATACCCCACCGGGTCGTCTGGGATATTCCACAGCCAACAACGAGGCGCTCTAACGCGGACTCGCCAGCCCGTAGCCCCACGATAAGGGTCGGGTAGAATGTTTAAAAAAAAACTTCCCCCTCTCTTCTACCTTTTCGTTTGTGATGTGGGTGCACTCACGGCTGACAACGAGGCGCTCTAAAGGATCCACGCCAGCATGACGCGAACCCCAAATCTCAGAATTCACATGACAGTCTTTATTGGTCCAAACATTATTCTTTCTTTGACAACAAATAACGTGTCTTTGTTCAGCTATACTTGACCAGCAGAGCAATTAAATGTTCTCCCGCTCAATGGCAGGAGATACAAAGAAACGATGCATCCACAAACAGAAGAGTAGTTTGGTGCTCGACTAAACCGGCCCACATTTCTCAGTAAGTAATTATGTGAGTATATTCAAATCACCCTTACTTCAGGATCTCTGCACTCGTGATGACAAACTATGTTTCTACGGCTCACAAGAAAAACTGAAATGTGCATTTTCCTTTCATATTCGTTCTCCTGTAGTTTTCCAGCCCCTCATTAGAATATCACTGTCAGAGATGTGCTGTAAATCAGCTCCGAGCTGTTTAATTGTCCGCGCGGGGTAGAGAGGCGGTGTAGGGGCAAGATCTGGGTCAGTACACATTTTACACACTCATAGAGGACAAACTATGCAAAAAAAAAAAAAAAAACAACAAACCGCCTGAAATGCCTCATGAGCATGAGAATGTCTGTAGGGACAAAAAAAAAAAAGAAACCATGGTGGCAACCTGTTGCTTTGCTTGCAAGTGGAGGGAACATTTCCCAGCAGCGGCTCCACACATGACAACAGCGCACACCCACATCTTGCACGCCCATCCCCAAGAAGAGCCCTCCGAGCTCACACACACACTCGTGCACGTACAAGAGCTTTTTGCACACAACTGCGCGACTTTGAAGACATTCTGGAAAGGAGGCCACGTTTCCTCTCGGGAAAGACAAATGGCCAACTCCGGGATTCAACTTTTGGGCTTCTTCCTGTCGCTGACTGGCATCGTGGGTCTGATCATCGGGACCATTCTGCCCCAGTGGAAGATGTCGGCCTACGTCGGGGACAACATCATCACGGCCGTGGCCATGTACCAGGGATTGTGGATGTCTTGCGCCTTCCAGAGTACGGGACAGCTCCAGTGCAAGATCTACGATTCCATCCTGCAGCTCGACAGTAAGTCGCTACACTTGCCGCTATTTTAAGTCGGAGGGGGTGGGAGAAAAATAAAATCCTTGTTTATTATCTTTCCAAAGAGGTCAGACAATTCGACATGGAGACATCTCAAACGTCTGGGCCGAGAGGGGCTCTCAAAGCAGGATTTTGAGAGCAGCCGATGAGGGCTGAACAAGTCATCAAAATAACATCGACATCGAAATGCTGCAGAGCGCAATTTTCAAATCGTAAAGGGAAGTAACTTTGGGGAAAAAAAAAGATTGCTAACCTAACCTATAAAAGCCAGAAAATATGTAGAATAAATTTGGTATTGTGGATCGGCAGATATTTTTTTGCATTTTATGCAAAATCTGTGACCGGTTGTAATGTCACATTTTGCCGATTGATCAATGATATCATTGATCGTATCCAGTCACCCCACCTCCATCCCCATACCCATATTTCCTGTGTATTTCATGTTTGTCAACGTTTTGGGGAGAATTTTTTTATTATGTTTTTGCCAATGCAATACAATGGGTGTCAACTATACGTTTGCCGGAAAACAGCGGGTGTCGACATTACAGTAAATAAACAAGCTGTTTAAATACTTTGGATCAAATGGTTCATCTTTGGATCGGTTCGGTCATGTGGGTTTTTCTTTTTTTTTTTTTTAATTCGCTGATTGGCTCCAAAATTTCGATTCCGTAAACCGAGAGTGTATGTCATACATATTTTTTTTTGGCTTATGTTTTGTTTAAAAAATTAATAAAATACATGGGAATAGGATGTTGAAAAAAATAAATAAATATTAAATTGCAATCGTAATAGTGAGGACGAAAAAAAACAAAAAACAATTACATGATTTTTCAAAATCATTCAACCCACTCGCCTACACGCCAATGACCCAATCGATACAAATACTACAGACAGACAGAGCCAGGTGGTCCAAACTGCTGAAGTCACTATTGCGATTCACTCAGTAAACCAGTGATAGAATATCAAATGTGAATTTTTCCATCCTGCTTACTTCAAGTAACGACACACACGTACGCAAGCACAATAATCAAAACACCTTTCGATAAGCGGCTTTCTAACGGTGACTTGAGATGGAAGCTGGTCCACACAGCACTTGCCTGCTTCCAGAAGGTTCCACAGGACCTTCTCAAATAATTAGAGGCCCCGCAACAGTACCAATGCTCCCCTCGCTACGGGAGGGTGCTGTTTGTGCGGGCCGGGGCGGACTGGCACAGACTGGTTCGAGGTGGACAGGGACAAAGGAAGGTTCGCACTGTGATGGTTTTATAGGAGGTGGGGTGGGGTGGGGTGGGGGGGGCACTGACAGATGAGGAGCGGACAGTCGTATTTCAAAGTGTGGCGCCACAGGGTTGTAACCCACGGTTTCGCTTCCAGGAAGAGTTGACACTGAAGCGACCCAACTGGCAACGAACCAAACGGAGCACACACACGCACACACAATAAATAAAAAGCAGCTTTTGAATCCATTCTTTTGTGCAGCATCTACGTGGCTCGTCGAGAAGTTTATTCATTGAGCGCTTCCTCATCAGAACATGATTGAATCCCCTCCAGGTTCTCTTCAAGCCACTCGGGCTCTGATGATCGTGGGCATCATCGTGTCCGTGGCTGGCCTGGGCGTGGCCTGCACGGGCATGAAGTGCACCACCTGCGGGGGGAGCGACAAGCTGCGCAAGGCCCGTGTCGCCATGACGGGGGGCATCATCCTGTTAGTGGGAGGTGAGTTTTACGGCTCCATCCGGTGACATCCAATACAAGAAGCGCAAAAATAGCAAGACAACACACACCGTATTTAAGTATAGGCACATGCATTCAAAGTCACAGATACTGCAGTGTGGAATGTCAAGATGGCAACGCCAAATTGACAAAAATAATACCTTCCACCTACATGCATATTTGGTATTGGTGTGATGCAAAAGGCTTAAAATACAATATAGAACTAACCTACATAGAATATAGATAGATAGATAGATAGATAGATAGATAGATAGATAGATAGATAGATAGATAGATAGATAGATAGATAGATAGATAGATATTCACTGTGTTGGTTCTTTATCCACGTCTGGTTGCTTCATGAGCCATTACGTTAGCGCTACTTTTTTTCACTTCTGTTATGATGAGATAGCATAGATAAGGACTTTATGGGGAAATAACAGCTGTAAACTGTAACAACAACCGCATGTTCAAGAGACATGTGCACTACTCATTCCAGTCTAAACAACAGCCATTGAAATACATAGGCCGATAAGACATGCTCTTTTTTTTAGCGCAAACCGGAAACACGTTAGCAGTCTCTATCTGTTGATGGTGCCACAGTGTCGTCTCGTGGCAATGTGGAGAATTGCAGCCAATTCTGAAACTAGGGTATTTTGACACGGGGACGTTTTGAGTGGACTGGACACTTTCCACACTTTGAAAAAAAACACACAGCTTGAATATTTGTCAGTTAAACAATAAATTAAGTTGAAATAACATCAAAATATAAATTATTGGTGGATATGGCAACAATGTTAGTTCACACAACAAAGCAAGCAATTTGCAAAATGCCAATTTTCACGACCACAAAACTTAAATGTTTCTGTTGAATTGCCCGACTAAAATTTTTATCAGTTTGCTGCCTTGAAATCCAGAGTTGACCGATATTTTAACTGAACCAAAAAAAAAAAATCATGATATCTAATTTATAGCTCGCTATTATTTCCATATATGACATCTGGTATTGCGTTTTGGGGAACACAAATACAAACGAACATCCAATCTTCAAGCTACATAAACGAGCGACAAGACTCATTCAACGAGCTAAATATAGAGAACCAACAAATCCATTGTTTATTAACCTAAATAAAATATTAATCTAAATTTCAAATTCTATGATTTAGTCGAACTACGTACGGCCAAGGTTTTCTTGTTTGTTGATTTGAAGAAAGATAAAGAAAGAAAAAGATTCTTTTCATAATTTAAATTTACTTTGTGAGATGATTAATTTTATGTTAGCGTGTTTTGGCCAATGATTTGAGTTTTTGTATTGGCGTGTTGTGGATAGTGATTTCCTTTTCCGAGTGGCTTGTTTTCCTGGAAACTGCTGTATTGACTGTTCTATTTTCGAGGAACTGATTGAATAAATGACCCAACTGTCCCACAACACATTATTATTTTTTTCCCCCCCCCCCCCCCCCCCCTTTAGGGCTTTGTGCCATCGTGGCTTGCTCCTGGTTCGCTCACAACGTGATCCGGGCGTTCTACAACCCCTACACTCCTGTCAACACCAAGTAAGCTCGGTTTGTGCTTTCACTTAAATCATTCGAGTTTTTTTTTTTGCATACCGTTCTGGTTGACGACACAGGTTTGAGTTTGGCGCCGCCATCTTCATCGCGTGGGGCGGTTCCCTCCTGGATGTCCTGGGCGGGGCCATGTTGGCAGCCTCGTGCTCACAAAAGAAGCAAGTCTCCAAGTACCCATCCGTGGCCAGTTCCCGTTCCGGGCCTGCCAGCGGAAACAAGGAATATGTCTGAATGTCATCAGTGTTAAACAAAGATATCCAAGTGAAAATGTGTGTGGGCCATCACTGAATCACTAAAGGGAGACTTTATGCGTTTAATAATTGCTTGCTTGTGACGCAGTACTGTCTCAACCACATGCGTTTATACAAGTGCTATTCACTTTAGACTACAAAAAACAGACAGGATACAAACTCCAGTCTGAATGGTGAATACAGAATCGTCCACACGTGCACGTCCAATTTCGACCTATTTTATAGTCACACATCAGCCAATGGGTTGAAAGTTATTTATTTGGCCAAACGTAGGTTGACTTTTAGATTTCAGGTTTGTAGATGGATGTCATATTTTGGTGAACTGCTTTTTTTTATATATATATACAAAGACATACTACTGATGCATGTAGCTGATATGTAGAAATAAAGGCATTGTAACATTTTATGTTTGTCATGTGGTCCGCTTTCCAAAACAGCAAAACCCCAAGTTGGTGCCCAGTATGAAAAAAAGGAAGACAAAATTCACAAGGAGGTGTTAAAAGTCATTTTCAACATGAGCATGATCACGTGATGCCATGTTTAATAAAAAAAAAATCCACAACATCCTCTACAAAGATAAGTTTATTTCCCCGGATGCACATTTGAAAAGTTGACCACTTTCATGCAAACGGCTGGCATAATCCACATCAAATAAAAATCTTGAGGAAAAAAAAAAAACGTGTTACAATTTCACTACCTCTCCCAAAAAAATTAAATTAAAAAAAAAAAACTCACATTATACCAGCATGAGCATCTCCGGACATTAATGACAATAATAATACAGTCAGTTGGTGCTTCTTGTCAGTGTGTGATTGTCTCAGCAAATCACAAGCATGTTTCCACGAGCTCATTGTTTAAATTGTAACTTCCAGTGTATCGACAAGAACATGACAATGGAGTCAAGACATTCACAACTGTACAGGTTCATCCTGCCACTTCCCCTCTCGGCATGCAGGCAACAGCGGTGCAGTGTCAAAGTACGACGACGTAGCCCTTACAAAAGGTAACATACCAAGTTCAAGGATACGCTCTCACAGTCTCCATGCGAAGAACACGCGTGACGGGCATCCCCACAAAGTGCAAACAACTTCAAAGTTGACAAAATAGCAATTGGAAATGATATTTGTTTTGGTTTGTTTTAAAGCACATTTCTTCACATTTTACAAACAAACAAATAAAATCGTCATTATGAAATAACAAGCTTTCATCCACTGGATTATACAGTAAGCACACTACCAGTATCAGCAGTATGGAGGACAGGCACTGGACAACATGTTGCCGTGAAGGCGAAACCACCATCTTCTCAGCGGCACTCTTTCAGAAGCTCAGTCGGCAGGTCGCCGTAGACCTCCCACAACATGCGGACCCATCCAAAGTCTGAAATGAGGTGAAATCAACAGGCTGTATTTTACAATGAGGGTGGAGGCTCCCACCGGCGCCCTCTGTGGGCTCCGTCGCGCCATCGCTTGGATACGAGCGTGGGCCGAGATGGAGACACTGGGGAGGAGGTCTTTCGGTTCAGGACATGGGGAGAGACACGGGACACTGGCCGTTGTTGTTCATGATGTCGTCCAGTACTTCGTCATCCAAGTCCACTAAAATAAAAGAAAATTTTAAAAAACATAAATAGAGTGAGGAAAGGTCAAGATTGTAACCCACAACCTTGAGACTGTGGGGCAGACATGCTAATCGTTTTTCGAGATTGTACAACAAAAACTAGAAATGTTCAATCGCACTTTTTTTTCATGCGGATACCATTACGATTATTCACTGGAGTGGAGTATTCCAGGAGTACTTATGAGACATAACATTTGAAATTTGTTTCGGCTGCAGCTGTTTTGAAAACGCTATATATTGCATTGCATTGTAATTAACAGAATGAGTGTGTGTGTGTGTGTGTAGATACACACACACACATTTTTATCATTATATCGTACACCTATAGCTGTAGTAATATTAGATTTCTTTGCAGAGGACAAAGAATAAATGCCTCTGAGTATTGGTAAAGCCTGTCTACATGAGTTGAGCCTCCATTTGTGTTCTGTTGCTTAAAGGGTTTTAAGTCCACAACGCTGATGCTATTCGAAAGTCCGTTGGTGGCATTTCCAATTACGTGTTAGCATTAAGCTATGTTATGTAGTTGTTTGAAAAGCCACATAGTACAATTTGTTTGAGCCTTTGAGTCTCACCTTTCTTGGAGCGCCCAATCTGTCCCAGCTTGGGGGCCCTCTGTCCAAGCCGCTGGGGGTTTGGAGCATTGGGCCCGCTGTCTTGGCCGTGTTGGGCCCCGGGTCCGGGCTGCAGGGGCGGCCCCGCGGGCTGGATCAGCTCGGGGACGCCAGAAGCGCCGTACATGTCTGCAAAGAGGCGCAGCGCCTATTTCAGCCGCTAGATGTCCCCACAGCCAAAGAAGACGAGCTTTGTTGTTGTTGCGCTTTACTTCCGGAATACCGCTCACGGTTCAATAAAGGCAATGTTGAGCTGTGAATTAAAAAAACAACAAGATAACACGTTGAAATAAATTTCGCAAATACTATCCAGTCTATCGAAGTCACTGAACGTAAAGTTATGAAACCACAATTTATCGAGCCGAAAGGACCCTGTCGACATTCCTCGAAAAGCTTGGTTCAAATCGCCAAAAGCACCGCGGTCCGTGTACAGGAGGTTCAATGGTGAATATTACCTGATCACTCCTCAGCTGAGGCCGCAGTGACGAAAGGTTGAAAAAAGAAACGAACCTCAGCGCAAGCGTTTTGTTGTTGACTGGACTGCAGTTCTCTCTCTCTCCTTCTCGTTCTCTCTCTTTTCACTTTCTCTCTCACCCGAACTCGATGCGCCGCAGAAGGTGAGTGGATTTATTTAAAGGAGCCTCAGTGCCGTGGGCCTTTCCTGCCGTTTTATCTCACCCTCTGCTCCAAAAACGTGCGCGTCATCCGTCGGCTGATGCGAGCCACACTGCTGCTGACGACTGTTGTCATTCTCGAAACTTTAACGAGAGGAGGTGATGCGTAACTGCGCACGTCACACCTCGCCGAGCGTGACTCAACCTCAGCCAATTGAGTGACACGCCTCGATGATGCTCATCCATAAATCATGAGGATGCTTTTTGTCACCTGACAAGCACCGAGGGACCACGCTGCGGGCACATATTGTATCCTGAAGGGCTAATAAAAGAGTCATTTAAGTTGGAACAACTTTAAAATTGGAAATTGTTGACGTTTACGGCAACACTGTTCGTTAGCAGAACAAAGCAAGCAGGCTGTATGCTCCAACACCAATTTCTAGCTGTTTACATACTGGTATCTGTATATCCCTTATATTTCCCCGCTAACTAGAGCAAATTGTTTTGAAGCAAACACCTCGCTTGCTTTGTTGTCATAACTATCATTGTTGCCATATAAGTCAGTAATTTATATTTTAAAGTTATTGTTGTAACCCTCCTCCCGCAATTACCAGTTGTGTTTTGTAGAGGGTGCTCCATCCAGCATCTATGTGAGCAAAGGTCACATCCCAAGGTGGGAACAATTTTGCTTGAACGTTTGCCGACTTTTGATGATTCTCAAGTTCACAAGACACTAACGATGAAGTGATTGGGTCAGCAGAGTCACACGGGAACAGGTTGTGTCTACACCAAAACAGTATCGTGTTGTGTTGACACCAAAACACCGCGCTTAAAAGAAGCACGCACAAACAGTTGAAGTGGCCAAAAGGAACACGGACTTCCAAGGATTTTGCAAGTCAGGTAAGTTGTGGGTTTTTTTTCCATCCGTTTGCTTTCTTTGCTTGCAAAAAAAAAAAAAGATAACTGATTGAAGACTCCTGAGCTAAAGATTGACGAAAGTCAACAGGGTCGTGTCCGGTCTACTGTGTTCCGGTCAAAGTCAGGATGGACGAACAAAAGGCACTCATGCTCGGATGTTAATAAGTCAAGACACTAGTTAGCGTGTGCACTTAAGGGGTGCTTCGTTGAATCACTCACAGCGCCTTATCAAGGAAAGTGTTGTCAAAATGTCATGCATGAACATGTGAAAAAGTATGAGATCGATCACATATTTTGACATCAGTAATATATCCATTGACCTCTGTGAAAAATATTACAGTACTGAGTTATTTACAGTAGTTGTGAAAGTCTTTTTTGTTGGCATTGCTTTACTGTATGTTACTGCCACCTGTTGGCCAAGGCTGGCACACCAGAAGGGGCAGCACAATGAATTGAATTGAATCAACGAATCCTGATGTGTAAACTGTTTTCTCATTAAAAAATAAAATTAAAAAATTATATGCGTGCGTGCGTGTGTGTTTATTAGGCTGCATGGGCATTTCCATTCACTTCAACAAGAAAAGATGCTTTGAGTTGAGATGTCTCATCATGTGATCGGGTCCCAGCCGCAAAGGCGGCGCATCCAGGAGGGGGCGCAATGGAGCACGGGCCTGTGTGCTTGTCATCAAGACGTGGGAGACTGTAAGTGCACCAGGGGAGTGCGGGGGCTCAGATGACATCACGTATGATGATCCCAGTGGGTGTTTGTGGGGGGGCTCAGATGACATCACGTATAATGACCCCAGTGGGTGTTTGTGCAGGTTGCTTTGCCCTGTGCTGCCTCCCGGTGTTTACCTGTAAGGTGGCGAGGAAGGCGGGCGTGTGTCCCCTTTTGCCACTCCTGGACTGTCTCGGCTGCGTGCCCCCGGCTTCCCTCGCGGTGAGGGCCTCCGTGAGGGAAAAATATGGCATACAGGTACGTCCATTACAAAACGCCTTCGAGATTTGGGACTGAGTCACCAATGGTGAAATGCTTATTGATTTATTTTTGGAAATTTTTTTCCCCCAAAAAATTCCTACTCGATAGCCAGCGTGTGGCTTTAGGCTATCATAGCCACTATAGAGCGCCTCATTGTTGGCTGGGACTGTGCGCAGAAGATATGGAGAGTGAGGGAAGAGCAAGAAAGGTGGAAATGCTTTTTTTTTTTTTCTTGACTTGACTGCCAGCATGTGCATAATGCCTTCGTGCTGATGTGGCTGCTTTAGAGCACCTAATTGTCTCATGACAATGCCATGATTCAAACCAACTGGCTAAGGGAAACCTGAAAATCCCATTTTAGGCAAAAAGAAGAAACATTGAGAAGCGACCACAGATGAGGGTCTAAACATGCATGAAAACTCATCAAACTTTGCACACACATCAGGCCATATTCCAGCCATCATAGCCTTTAAGCGGATATTATTTGGAGCCTCATTTGCAATTTTTAAAAATAATTCCAATAGAAGGGTTGTTAAAAACACTCAGATTTCGAAGATTAACTTTACAGGGACTACCTTTCCACCCAAAGGTGGTTTACAGTTAAAATTATAATTGAGATCTTCGTAAAATTACTGGGCATTCGGGGACTGGCGTGACAATATGTGACTTTTGGAGGCTGGACTGGGCAAATATTGAGAAACAAAGATTCAGGTGGGGGCGGCTGCACTGCAGAGTTGGAGCACTGCCATGAAAGGAGGTGGTTGGTAATGTTGGCTCCTCCGGAGGTGGAGTGGGCCGCGGAGCAAGCGGTCAGACTTTGCAGTGTTGAGATTAAAAAAAAAAAAAAAATTAAATCAGTGCGGAATGCATGCGAATTTCTCCACTGTGAGACAAAGGTTTTCTTATTTTAAAGACAAAGATTTGGGCATGTGGTCCATTGAGCGCCATTCGTAGTTTCATCAAGTTGAAGCGTCTCTTCTCTGTATCGTTTAGCTCCCCTTCTCTCATCAGTGGAGAATCTCGCATCCAGATATGTGGTGATTTATAATGCTGGCAGCATTGTATGGAGCTGCGAGTCCATGTAAATGTTCACCTTTGGTTGGAGCCTCCCACTCACGCTCTCTTCCAGGGGAGTGTGTGGGGCGACTGCCTGTACGGATGCTGCTGCTACACGCTATCTTGGCTCCAGATCTCCAGAGAGCTGAAAAGGAGAGCGGCATCTCACGCCTCCTCCTCTCCGTCCTCCTCCTCTTCCTCAGACAAGTACGCGACATTGACTCCCCTGCAGGGGGCGCACTTGGTCTGAACCACGGGGGCTGGTTATCCAGAACAAGTGTTTCCCAACCTATGTAGAGAAGGAAGTTCCACATTACCATGTAAATGCCTGAGTTAATCAGAGGTTTGATACTGAACAATATGATAATAATGGTTATGTATTGTTTGGGTTTTTTTTTTGTCTAGCATTTTGAGAGTCCTTTTGAAAAGAGACTTGATTGGTTTTTGGGTACTCTTTGAAGGAAGCAGGAAGTGTGGGTTAATATTATTGTATGCATATCGGTCTTTGCTGACTCTATTGTAAGAAAGGGTCTGACATTTGATAGATGAATAAATTCTCGCTCCAACTACCAAGACACTTAGTTGTTCCCCCTCTGCTGGTTGTTGGGAGAAAAACATAATGGGGGGCGGGGGGTGGTTGGGGGGAGTGTCTTTTTTGTATTCCGATTTAAGCAACGCGATCGGTTCTGCAGACATTTGCTAAGTTATCGGCATGACTGAATAAAACAGGACCCAGCATTGAGCCTTGTGGTACTCCAGTAGACCCAGTGAGAGGCATTAAAGAAAAAGGAATTACCTACTTGAACTGCCTGTTTTCTGTCTGGCTGGTTGAATGTGTTTCAACAGACACTAAAAATGTTAACATAAATTGTCCTGTGCCACCATTTAGGCTTGTTGTCTAACAATGGTAGAGTGAAAATATCCAATTGTTATTGTTTCTTTATGAATAAAATAAATGTTTCCCTGTTTCAGTGCTCAATGGAACCCAAATTAATGTCATAAGTAACTCTAAAATGTGTCCAGTAGTTCCTGTTTTACCAAGTCAAAATAATTGCTGCGAAATGTTATCTGTGGATTTTTTTGTGTGTATTATTGTACCTAAACTAAATTAAATACGGAGTTAAGAAAAATCTTAGTGATTTCATTTTTTAAAATGGGAGTTGAATGTAATGCCTGATTAAGTCATCAAATTGTCCGCACAAATATCTCCTGTTTCTGAGCAATACAAGTGTAATACAATGATGCAAACAACAAAAAATGTTGCAGTCCATTAGGCTTGTGTGCACGTGCACACAGAGGATAGCACTGAACATCCTTGTAACACTTTTCAAAATGTTTTACATCACGGTGATCTAATCAGGAGAATCAGTCCGTCAAATTTCGGTGTCGCACGCTATTGGACCGGCCCGACCAGTTCGTGCGACGTGGCCGCACGTCTATAAAATAAGAACCACCCGGAGGCTCGCACAGCAGTCGCTGTCTCTCCTGACCGGACCACATTCGACTTTCACTCATGTAAGTTGTCCTGCTTTTCACCAAGGATGTGTTTGAATGTTTGCATATGAGTGAAGTCTTCAGTCATGTTTTCGCCTTTGATTAATGTCGAATTGAATGAAATGGTTCGGGTTGACACTCGACCCCGAGCTTGGTTGTTAAATCAATAGACGTCCTCACTCATGAAACAATTTCATGATTGTGGAAGTCTGTTTGGCCTTCTTCGGCTCTTACATGCATATGACGCCCCCACCCCACCCCAACCTCTTACCCGTCCCCCCCAGAGATCGCAGCCATGTCTCATCAGTTGAATCAACCCAAGCCCTTCACCATGACCACCATGACCAGTCTGAACAACCAGTGGAGCTCAGACATCTGCGACTGCTTCGACGACCTACCCCAATGTGAGCAAGTGTACTGAAATTCCACATCTGCATATCAATGATGGCTAGACATGATTGAGCGTCAGAGGAACGCTATCAGAGGCTTCATATTGGAGCAGAGGCGTTGCGAAGAGGGTTAAGGCACGGTTAGTTCAGCTTCCCTTGATGCGCTGTATGATAAAAGGCACTCGGTAACGTGCACACTTAACAGGGGGCACGATGCGGAGGATGTGAATGTGAATGGGAAAAAAATTAATGCATGTATGTGGAATGAAGTGGATTTCTTTGGAATTGCATAGAATTGAATGATTGGCTTTTATTTTGACATTTTGAAAAAAAATGTAAGTCGGGAGAAGCTCAACAGCAGAACTGTTTGAATCGGTCAAAAAATTTTTAGAAATTACAACAACAACAACAAAATCAAAAATGTTACTTTTATTTTGAAATTTTGACAAAAAAAATAAAGTGCGGTAAATCATAAGATAAACAGTTTAAAGTTGGAACGGTTAGAATTGGTAAAAAAAAGTGGAAATTGCACCAACTAAATGAATAAATCAATTTAAATTTTTAGCTTTTATTTAGACAATGACATTTTGAGGAAAATAACAAACAAACAATAAATGCTAATAAGCCGAACCGTTTAATGTTGGAACAATTAAAATCGATCAAAAAAACGAGGAAACGAACCATCCCGAGGAGAAAAGTCAAGCATCGCGCCTGAAGGCAGTCGTGATGAAGCGCACCCGTCTGGTTACAACGGTTTTAAACGGAAAACTATGAGAGAGCGCCCGCCTCGAACAAAATGCTCTCGTGACTTAACGGTTCAAGATACTAGTTCCTCAAAGGGCTCATTAGAACGGGAGAAGCCCGGGGAAAGCGAGCATGCTGTCATTTTTTTAACTCGGTTGAAAAGTGACGGAATTAGCGCTGGTTTGGGGGGAAGAAAAAACGAGCACCACCCGAGACCCTCAAAAGTGTAACTGAGAATGAAACGCAGCTATGGCGTGCGCCCACTCAAGAGTGCATTGATTTATTCTTATTTTTTTTGATGAAAACGTTTGGCTCTCCAGGTTGTTTTGCCTTCTGGTGCCTTCCGTGCTTCACATGTAAAGTGTCGCACGACGCCGGCGAGTGCCTTTGTTTGCCGCTGTTGGACGCCTTTGGGGTCATCCCGCCCATGACCACTGCCCTCAGGGTGTCCGTACGCCAGCGATATGGCATACAGGTACGCAACAATCTACAAAAGAGGAAAAAAAAAATCGACAGTTGGATAGTTTCGAAGATAAAACCATTGTTCCACCTCACCGATATAGAGATATACAGTAGATTAAAAAAAAAAAAAGTCTACACACCCTTGTTCAAATTTCAGATTTTTGTGACAAGTTTCTATTTTGAACCGCACATAATTCCTTCGCCCTTGTGTATAAGGTACGAGTTCCAGCTGAAAAGAAAAACGGCCTCCGTGTCTGTTGGTACCCTGTTCTTCTGGACATTACACATATCGGAATTATGACGGGTTCAACCTTGGTTTTCATTGGCACATTTTCTCACATAAACTGGAGAGATTTTGATAAAAGTCTGATGAAAGCAAGGTTGAATCTTTTGATCGTCATTCCAAAAGGTGCAGCACGTTTGGCACCGACTCAACACGGCTCATCGTCAAAAATGTTTTTTTTTCCTTTTTCAGCTGGAATTAGATCCTAAAAGCAAAAGAAATGGAATTATGAACAGTTCAAAGTAGAAGTCGCTGTGAACACAAAACCTGGCGCCCACTGGAACATTTGAAATATATTTGGGGGGAACCGCAACTTGTTGTGTGCTAACTCCCGATGAACACGAGTTTAAATGTGATTGTTTCATTTTGAACACGGGCGCGTGCACTTTGAAATGTCCTGCTTCCATTCAAACTGGTATTGTGTGCATTTTGCCCACAGGGCACCGTTTGCCACGACTGCATCTACGCTTGCTGCTGCGGCCCATGCACCTGGTGCCAAATATCCCGTGAAATCCAAGCCAGAAAAAATCCCATCACGTTCGTCAACATGGCGCCCTGAAAAAAAAAAAATTATAATAGATAGATAGATAAACCCTGACGTCCCTCGTCCCTCACGTCATCACTCAAGCTGAGAGCACATTCTTGGACTTTGTGTCTTTTTCAGACGGCAAAGCGCTGACATCTGATCTGATCCGAGTACATCGCCACTCTTGGAATGTCACCAAACAGCTGATTGAACTTTAGGATATGTCACATCACGTAGTAAAGCTAGAGACCTGACCTATGTGTCCTGGCCCAAAAAAAAACAAAAAAAAAAACACTTCAGTCATGTTATTGTGATAGAACAAAACCGAGTCAATAGAAACAAAAGGATTATTTTTATTAAAAATATTTTTAATAAAGGTGAAAGATTCCAGTCCATGGCAATGTTTCATTAAGCACGAGTAAAACATTTGGGACAACGGTTTGAATTCAAGTGTGGAGTCTTTTCAAGGCAAACGCGGAACTTTCCGAAGCTGTCTCCGCCGGTTTACGTGAGCGCCGGAGCATCGTGTGAAATCCCTGCAAAATGACGGCACCATAAAACGCCGCTGAGAAAACAAACAAAAGCCGCTGTCGGAGGAGCACGCTGGGAATCCAATGGGCCACGATCGTGAGATGTGCGACAATTGCGGGAAGGAAGCGTTCGAGGGCCAGTGAGCGCCCCCGAGACTTTTATCCGCATTTGGCTTCCGGATGGACCTTGAGAAGGTGCGAATAAATGTGATTATTATTGTTGTTGTTCCCCCTCCATTCAGGCCCTTTCGCTTAATCACTGGAGCATACTTATTCTCGGGCACATTTATTTTCCCTGTGCTTCGAGTGACCTTGGCATTTCCTGCGTCGCTGCCGCTCCCGTCGCACTTTCTCCCGGTTTGATTAAAAGGCCTCAAGAAACTTCCTCAAATTTTCCAGAAATTCAATTTTTCGAGGCAACACCTTGCTTCAATTTATCACATGTCGAATGGGAATGAGCACACGCTCGCCATCAGTTAGGATGCCTCTGATAAACCCAAAACAAAGTTCTGATGTTCCAGTAGGCTTTTTCGGTTACTTTCACATGAAACATGAATCGAAGACAATTGCTTGTTTATTTAAAGGCAAGCACATAGCCTCAGATAACTTTATGCAAACTTCCAATGGGGGAACTCCACAGGCATGCGGGCTAAAAGTTAGCATCTACAGTACGCGGCCGTGCTGTTAAATTTTAAGCAATGGATATCTGGACACAAAGAGTACCATAGAACAATACTCACAAGCATATGTTTGAAGAATGAACAAATATTACTGCCCTGCATCAGAATGAGCAGCGCAAAAAGTGTGTGTGTGTGTGTGTGTGTGTGTGTGTGTGTGGTGGGGGGGGGGGGGGTTGCAAATGTCATTTTTAATTGTCAGATTCCTGATGAAGGATGTGGAAACCAGCCCGTTTTTTTTCACGTCATCCGCCCGTAATGGTTCGCGCTTCAGTCTGTGCTTCAGAAATTACTTTCCGGTTTTCAAGGTTTGCCGCCGTCACATCACATGATCACGACATCACATTTGGACTCTGACCAGGTAGCTCGCGCTTGGTGTGACAGGGGATCACGGAGTGAGTCAGCACATTTGTGGATTTTAAAACAACAAAGGTGAGCTGATTGAGCATTTCACACCACTTATCTGCCTGTTACTATTATTATTATTATTCTTTGTGGATTCGTTCACTCCATCATTTAAAGCTCGGGATGGTTATGAAGGCTGAGACCTTTGGACGGGCAGGTGCTTAAAATTCCATGTGCCCCATGAAGGTTTGAAATAGTGTGAAGGGAATGATACACATGCACGTGTATAAAGTTGGAATGCGCTCTGCTCCGCCAGCTGATGGCTTACCAGGACTTTGCGGATCCTGAGTTCCCCTGGCACCGGCCTTTTAATTATTCCTCGGGTGAGGACCAAAACACATGGCGAGGCTGCATTCAGCCATTTTGGTCGCCGGCTATGGCTGCCAGAGGCCATCGGGTCTGCAGACGCTCTTGATATTTTTCAGAGGAGGCTGAAGGGATATCTTTTTCGCTTGGCTTTTGAATAACTTGCATTTACACTTATTTTAATTCAAGCCTTTTATTTATTTATTTCACTTTTTTTTTTCTTTTTCTTAAGAGCCACTGTTTCCTCTTGGGGGCCTCCGTGTTGTGAGATGTGGCGGCTGTCACTCAGTGTGGGTCAGCTTCCCTTGGGTGCTTTTTTTACTCATATGGTTTCTCTGTGCCTCAACATGTCTTTTTTTTTAATATCAGGGTCATCATAGTATGTGTGCATGTTTTAGGTTTTTTGTGTGTGTGTGTGTGTGTGTGTGTGTGTGTGTGTGTGTACATAGGCATGCTTGGGGGAATATATATCTGTGTTTGTTGAGAGGGGAGGGTCCTCTTTTTATTTTGTTACTTGAATTTTTTAACTGCACATCACTGAGTTGCATTTTTATGTATAAAACGTGCTTGAGAAATAAAGTTCGATTGTTTGAATATGAGCGATACTTAGAAGCTCCATAAAATGACAAATGTGTTGGGTTGTGCCCCTTTCTAAACGGCATTGTTGCCATTAAAGTTGGGCTTATTAAGTACATATGAATATGAGTTGTGCTTTAAAGACTGAGTATAAAAGTCAACATCTCTTCATGTCTTACCCACGCAACTGCCCGTCTCCCCCAGGAAATGTCCAAGGGTATGGCGGCGCTCCTTGCCGCGTTGGCCTTCCTGTCGCTGTGGCCGGCTGGATCCGACAGCAGCAGGATCCTGGTGGTGCCGGTGGATGGTAGCCACTGGATCAACATGGCGGCGATCCTGAAAGAGCTGCACTCCCGAGGACACCAACTCACAGTGCTGCACTCCCCCAACAGTTGGTACATCCCGACAAACGGCTCCTTTTACACTTCAGTCACCGCCACCATGTTGGAGGACGGCAACAAAAAGGACTTTTACAATCAAGTCCTGTTGGATGTGATCAAAGTCCGCCAGTACGCCGGCTTCTTGAGGACCTTCTACCAGCAGGGCTTGATCACCGACATGCTAGCGAGGGGTCATAAAATTCTTGCGGAAGCAGCCACCGCGATGATCGATGACCCGGTTTTCATGAAGAAGCTACGAGAGGCCAAGTTTGATCTGATGCTAACAGACCCGGGCCTGACGGTGGGGGTGCTTCTGGGGAATTACCTCAAGTTGCCGATGGTTTTCAACGTGCGGTGGATGAACAACGGCGAGAGCCATTTTGCCATGGCTCCCTCCCCGCTCTCCTACGTCCCCGTGTCCGGAAGTGAGCTCCACGATCAGATGGATTTTCAGGGACGGCTTAAGAACATGTTACATTACATCTACAGTCTCATTGAATTCTACTTTTACATCAACGCAGCGTACGCAGATCTCTTCCAGCGCCACTTTCCTCCCAAAACAGACTTGCTCACCTTGGAGCGAGCGGCGGATATCTGGCTGGTGAGGTCCGATTTTGTCTTCGAGCTGCCCCGCCCGACCATGCCGAACGTGGTTTACATTGGCGGCTTCCAGTGCGAAAAGGCCCGGCCCTTGCCTGCCGATCTGGATGCCTTCGTGCGGAGCTCAGGGGAGCACGGGGTGGTGGTGATGTCGTTGGGAACGCTGGTGTCAGCCCTGCCCCGCGATGTCACCGAGGCCATCGCGGGCGCGTTCGCTCAGATCCCCCAGAAGGTGATCTGGAGGATCAAGGGAGAAAAGCCTTCGTCCTTGGGCAACAACACCCTGGTGGTGGACTGGCTGCCTCAGAAAGACCTCTTGGGACACCCCAAAACTCCTGCGTTTGTTGCCCACGGAGGGACCAACGGCATGTATGAAGCCATTTACCACGGTTTTCCAGTTCTGGGTCTGCCGCTGCTGTTTGACCAATTTGACAACCTACTGCGGCTGAAGGTACGTGGGGCGGCCCGGGTGTTGGAGGCCAATTCGCTTACCAAGGAAGGCTTCCTCGAGGCTCTCAGGGATATTCTGGACAATCCAACCTACCGCGATAACATGCGGCGACTCTCTCGTCTCCATCACGACCGCCCGATGCCTCCCTTGGAGACCGCCATCTTTTGGATCGAGTATGTCACCAGGCACAAGGGAGCGTCCCATCTGCGTCCGGTCGCTTACAGCCTCCCTTGGTACTCCTACTTCTGCTTGGACGTGGTCCTTTTCATCACCGCTGTTGTGGTGGCCTTTGTGTGGGCTTCCGTAGCCTTTTGTAAGGCCATCTGCTGTCGGAGGTTCGGGAGAAAGATGAAACGGGAATAAAACATTCGGTGACCGACTGACAAACTTGAACGTGTATTTTCAACAGGGCACTTTTGTTTGTTTCTATCTGTTGTCAATAAGCACTCATTTGATTTCATTTTGAATGACTCGTGATTCCTGCAGCTTGGGAATCAAACCGCAGAGCACTGTTGGAGGACAAAAGGCGACCGGGTCGAGCTCGCCCGTGTGTGGTGGGAGTGTCTCGGGTCAGTTTTTTGTTAGTCATGTTGGATTATTATTTTTTTTTTTTGTTTTGTTTTAATCAATAAATCAGTCTAGGGGCATTTTCAAGGGAGCAAAATGAGGGATTGGACATGAATAAGCTTTCCCTTTTTAAAAAATACTTCCTGAAGCCAATTGTCTCCACGCAGCCATTCTTCCCCAAGACAATGCCAATTGTGTTTCCCCTCCCGAGCCGTACTGCAGCAAGGGACATAACCCTGACCGCGCCGAACCCCTACAAAGTCATTTGTGAAATATCGTGATTTATGCGATATTATGAATACTCTACCTGAATGGCTCCTGTGGTGTGTTTTGGAGTGGTGTGTTCATATCAGTCATGTCTTTTAGATGTTCTACTAATTACAGACACTGTCTGATGAAGCCATTTTTTTAAACAATCAATAAAAAAATGTTAAAAAATGGATTTGAATCGATAATGTATCACACAACATTGTGCAACTCATGCATTGAACAGCAGATTGGCAGCTCACAGCGTGGCCGCCGTGTCTGTATGTTTTTGTTCAAGCCCAAAAGGCGTTCTCCTGTCTCAGGATGTTGCCCTTAAAACCCAAGAAGTTGGCTTCCTGTGGAGGAAACGATCAAAGAATGGATAAAAGTCGCTCCAGACGCCCCCGTTCCCAGCACTTGTTCAGCGCGGGTCACTCGGCAACAAGGTCTAGGCTGAAGTCGCAGCGTACACTTTTGAAAACGCACTTGATGGTGATGTTCTTGCGCCCTGTGCGGCAGGGCTTATTTGTCCCCTGATGGATTATGGATGCTTGGAAAATTGGTTGACGGGCAACCCAAAACCTGAGCCTGGCCTTTCCCATGGGAACACGCCATCACGGAGCGTTTGCTCTTGAATGGCTCGCAGCGCATCACGTCGAGGCGTCCGGCGTTCGACATGTCCAACGACAGCTGCGGCCTCCCCTTGGACACGGACGCACTGGGCCTGACTTGCATCTACGGCCTGGTCTTCACTGTGGGCCTGCCCTGCAATCTGCTGTCCCTCTGGGGGTTGTACCATCTGGGCCGCTCCGGTAGCGGCGGCTGCCAGCTGGTCTACATCCTCAACCTGCTCCTGTCCGACCTCCTGCAGCTGCTCACCCTGCCCCTGTGGATCCTGTACCTGCAGGACGCCCACCGCTGGCGCTACGGTCAGCTCGCCTGCGAGCTGGTGGGCTACGTGTTCTACGTCAACGTCTACGCCAGTGTCATGTTCCTGTGTCTGATAGCGCTGGACCGCTGCCTGGCCATCGTGTTTCCACTGAGCAGCCGCAGGGTGAGGACGGTCCGGGTGGCCGCCGTGTCAGGCCTGGCGGTGTGGACGCTCACGTTTCTCTTCTGCCTGTTCGGACTCTTGCCATCCGTTTTTGACTCGGAGCGACTACTGTGTCTAGAGCACTACCCTGTCAGCCCCCGATATGCCCACTTCAAGATCACCACTGTGGCTCTGGGCTTCCTGTTGCCGTGCGCCATACTGGGGTAAGCTAAACCACAAACGGCTCCGTCCCAGCGTCGCGTGTCATTCATTTTTTTTTTCCATGCTGCGCTTGCAGCTACACCTCAGCCCACATCTGGGTCACACTGCGACACTCCCCCTCCCTGTCAGCCCACGAGCGTCGCAAGATCGTGGGCATCCTGGTGGTCATCACGGTCAACTTCATCGCCGTGTTTGGACCGTACCACCTGGTGGGCGGCTACAGATTCGTGTCCTTACTGCAGGCCGACGAGCCCTGCACGCTGGAGCGCTCCATCTTCTTGCTCTACCGCCTATGCTACGGGCTGACCAGCCTCAACACAATGCTCGATCCCCTCTTCTACATCTTCCTGTGCGCTGATGCACGGCTGGAGCTGCGAAGGTCGCTGCCCTGCTCCGGGCGAGGCCAAAACGCTGGCAAAGTGACGGCCGGGAGCAGCAGAGCTCACCCGGATGCACACGAGCAAAGTGGACAAAATCATGTTTCCGTTGCCTAAAGGCTTTGCGTCCGGAGAAGAAAGATTCCAAAAACACCTCTGAAATTCTAACTGACATCTTGCATTCTATTCAAAAGAAAAAAACAAAACAAAAACAGAACTTTATTCTACGGTGAGGGTCAAGTAGTAGTACTGCATGAAGAAAGTACTTTGTGCTGTACTACTACTCCGCCCCGAAGAGATTTGATGATGTCACATTTATTTCAGGGCTTTTAATGGGCCAAAACTAAAGTCGGGATGAGGTATTGGTTTATTTAATATGGTGGTTTTTATTGATGCCCCAACCCCAAAATGTAGGTATGCACTTTTGTTTTTAATGATACGACAAGTTATTTGAAATTATTTTGAAAGCCTAATAGCTAAGGTTAGCAGATCCTCAGGTGTCATGTCAACGAAATACAATTTGTGGAAAAGTAACAACCATCACCAACGCATACCAATCGACTTTGTTTCAAAAAAACTGTTCATCTTTTTATGAGTACTGTCTGAAAAACTCAATTCAAGGCATTTTGGAGGAATAAACGGCAAGATTATAGCAACTGAGTGTCATCGGTGCAGTGAACAAGTACAATATTGTACATCCTGCAAAAAATTCAAATGTTGAGAGAAAATAAAGCATCCTGGAGTGAATTTTAAGCATTGTTGCACAAGTACATGACACAACTCTACTCCGCCTTTGTGACGAGAAGACTTTTTTTTTCCACTGGAGGAGGCGTGTTTTTGACCGCAACCCCCTTCTTGATATCACCGCCATTAAGGTAGAAGTCTCAACGGAGAACGGGATGCTGAAGCTCTGCGTGTTCTGGGTTGCTCTCTTTAGAGCCCGTAAGTTATGTCATTGACAAACTTTTCTGCAGAAAATGAAGCAAAGACACGGAACTGTCCTTTTTGTATGCATTTCAGATGGCAGTGTGCTTTTTGCCAGCCTGGGCGACCACGTCACCCTGCCCTGCAACTTTGCCCCGGACGCCAAATATCTGTGCTGGTACAAGCAGGTCGCAGGAGACAAACCCCAAATCGTGTTCAGCTTCTACGTCTATGCGCTCAACTCCCACAGTCACCAGATGGCGACGGAATTCAACAAGCGGATGATAATTCACGCCGGACAAAATTCCTTCCATCTGAACATTTCCAACGTGCAGCTCTCGGACACGGCCATGTACTACTGCGGGCAGAGCCGCCTCAACGTCATGAGCTTTGACAGCGGAATCTTTTTGCTCGTGAAAGGTATACCACCTCTTTTGGCCTTTAACCCACTGAAATATTCTGAAACAAGACGGGTGTAGGGACATTTTTAGGGGTGTGGGGGCATATGCTCAAGCTAAAAGAAAAAAAAAAGGGCGTGAGAAAGACATCCGTCGCAAAGGACACTTTTCTCACCTAGGACAAAATGGTTGGTGCTTGAACACCACTACCGGTCTGTCTGCGCTCAGAACTGTTCGGAATAATGAAAAAATAATCACCCAGACAGGTCAAACATTTACGTGTTATGTGTGCTCATTTTGAAATGCAACTAAATGGTGTTCAGGACACGTACAAGTTCAATGCTTTTTTTTTTCTTCCATTTCCCAGTATTTTTGTTTTGGGAGAATTTCTCTTAAAACTTTTTTTTTGTGGCAAGGAGAGAAAAAATTCATTTTTAAAATTTACGTCACTACATTCTGTTGTTTTTGTAAAAAAAAAACAAAATAAAACACCACGCCTGAGGAAGAACAACCTATCAAAATGAAACTGAGTATTAATTTAATCATTTGCCAAGCGCTCATGAGAACTCAAATATGGTTCCTCACTCTTACATTATTTTCGTTCTGTTTTAGAATCCACTCGCCTGTCCGTCCTCCAGCATCCAACGTCCATCACAGAGTCCCCGGGGGGGTCTGCCACAATGAACTGCACCATGCACCCTGGAAGCAGCGACGGGGTGCACACCGTCTACTGGTTTCGAAAGGCCTCGGGCGACTCCCACTTGTTGTACGTCCACTCGGAGAGCAGCAGCGGGTGCGCAACGGCATCGGAGAAGGGTTGCGTTTACATGCTGTCCAAACGGGACGTCGCCATGTCTGACGCCGGGACGTACTACTGCGCCGTGGCCTCCTGTGGCGAGATCGTGTTCGGAAAGGGGACGTGTTTGGAGATCGGAGGTGGGATGCCATGGTAGAAAAAGTGTTTCTGGAATGAAAAAAGAAAAAAAAAAAAACAACAACTCTCATGTTGTGTGTATTCTCACAGATGATAAGACATTGACGGACAGAGTGTTGACGTACTGTGTGCGAGCATCTCTGCTTGTGTCCTTCGGTGTCAATGTCTTTCTGATGCATCTCCTTATCAAAAGGAGCAGGAGAGACGACCTAGTCCAAGGTGATACACAAGACTTGATGGGTTTTTTTTTTGTTATACTTGGACACGGAGAAGGAAATTGTCATTTGATTCTCTTAACAGGGAAAATACCACAGCCTAGCGATCCAGAAGACAATAGGGACGACGAGGTTGGTCCGCTAAATCCTTTGGACGAAGACACGCACCTTCCCGCGCACTTTTCACATCCCAAATTGTATTTCCCACAGAGTGAGGACGCCGCAGCTTTGCCATACGTGGCTCTGGACTTCAAAAAGAGGCAGTCCAACAGCAGGAGACACAGGGGCCCAGACGACAGCGTTTACTCCGGATTGCGACTCCAACAGGTGGATTGATCAACATCTGCAACGTCAATCCCGCTTGATGCCCAGCAGTTTTGTAACATGTGAGACCTATAAAAAAAAAAAAAAGAAAGAAATAGGACAAATGTTTGAAAATTGTTTTGGCCTTCATTCACACAAACATGAAAGCAAAACCAATGCTACAAAATGAAGTAACATGAGGACATCTGGGTGTCTGTGGAAAATTCAGAAAGGTATTTTTAGGTGAAGCTTTTCGTTTTAAAATTAAGAGTGGTTAATGTTTTACACTGAACCCATGTGGTTCTCAGTCTTGGCCAACCCCAACAGGATGTTGGTGCGGTTTTGTTCGTGATGCTTGCTCCGTTTTGCAACATTGTTTGCAGGGGTCATCAAAATAACACACGTCTCAATTTGGGGGTATGTGACTTCTGCAGCGTGCAGGAAGCACATTCAGTTCAAAGCTTGCTCAATTTAAGCGACGGAAAGTTATAAACACTGAGGCCAAACGTGGCACTCGGGTGGTCAGCTCGCAGCGGCGCCTGACACGCATTAAAACCATTTCATGTAACAAGTGGTATTTTGGGATGCATCGACACAATGCTGCCCTACATAGCCTCACATAATGCACATGCCAGAAACAGTCACTGTGTACACGTCACAAAAAGTTATAAAGATAATGGGATTTATTTTTTTATGGATGACCTTAAAATGTACTTGACCGTTATGTAGACTGTAAACAAAAGCTGCACTGTCCTAAGTTGTTGATTACATCTACATATAAATGCCATGAAATCTAAGCTGGAGTTCGGGAACTTTTGTCTCATATTTGTCTTTTGATCTGAAACCCAAACGTCTTCAGTATACAAGAGAAAGAAATGAGTTGACCTTGAGTTCCAATACTTTTGGAGGGGACCGTAAATTCACTTGTTTCGGTTTAGGACATTTTTCTAATTTAGCCCGATTAGCTCAATTTTGGAGTCCGTTTTGAGTCTCCATATTGTGGCCCTACCTATATCTCATTTAAGATAAAAAGACCAAGTGACACTAATTTGGGCGTCCATGGCCATCATGGCAACGTTGACAACCGTTTCCGCGGCAAGCCTCAAAAGTGCCTACGTCACTTCAGTCCCTTCGGCAAATGAGAGGGTGCGTTCTGCCGCCTTGTGGACATACGGCATCATTGCATCAGTCCAACAAACGCGCCTGGGCTCACAAAAGTAGACATTTGGGGATTTTCAACGTTTTCAAGCATGTAACGTGGACAAATACATGAAAAGAATTGCTCCCAAGAAAGCAACTTCCAAAAGTAAGGTATTTATGGCACTATATTCAAATATATTAGAACTACACTACGTAAATGGAGGGTGCCCAAATCCAATCCTCAAGAGCCCTTATCCAGACTGTTTTCGATGTCTCCTTCCCTCCTTCAACACACTTGATTCAAACACGCAGCTCATCAAGCTTTGCAGAATCTTGACAACGATCCTGATGATTTGGAATCAAGTGTGTTGGAGGAGAGAGACATACAAAATAGGATAGATCGGGGCTCTCGAGAATTGGACTTGGCATCCCTGATTGACATTGTGTAGTTTGCTCGAATAGATTGAAATACTTAAAATACTAAACACTGTCCATGCGGTGAGTTTACTTCTTTGTCGGACAATGACAAAAGACAAGTATTTTTATATTTAAAAAAAACAAAAAACTTTATTCATGCAGGTCAGATTACAAAGCATTTTCCCTACTCATGAAACATTGGCTAAATGAAAATTGTTGACTAAACCAATCTAGTTGTTTAAAAGTGAGAACAAGCAATCAATCTCATTTACAATTGTCTCCAACACAAAGGAAAAAAAAGTGTGATGTATCTTCAAACACTGAGGTCCCCCAAATTTTTGGGACCTCAACTACAAACAGTATGAAAACAATACAAATACTTGAAATGGTTTCAACTCACAGCAGATGTGCTCCCCCCTGGACTTACCTGATTTTGGAGCTTTTTGGCTTGTCCATGCCCTCCCCCACACCAAGAGGTCGTTGACTGGGCTGCGGTGTGGGTCGAGCTACAAACGGAGGCGAGGCCTTTGCTCAGTTTTGTTGTTGTTTTTCGGAACAACACTGCTCATTCGACATTTTTGCGAGGACATCGTCGAGATTATCACTTTTTTTAAGGGGCACAGTTGGTGTTTTTTCCGCTGGGTTTATTTTACAAGACGGCACAAATCATTTGCAGACAGCGGATGTTGGTACAGGAGCGCTCCGAGCAACGGTTTAAACACGTTCAGTTACACACGTTTCAGTGCTCACGTCAACAGGTTTGTTTTTGTTGAGAGCAAAGTGCTTCTCCGCATTTAATACCAAGGTGCGTCGACATTTACACTCACAGGTTTGACTGGGACCTGCTATCTAAAAAGATCCAAATTAGAAGCCTATTTTTTAAAAAACGCTTTTAGCTGCAAAGACTACAGCTTCTACATCACAATGAAACAACCTAGGAGGGATTTATGTAAAAACTGGACCAAAAACAAGAAAACAAAAGACGAAGACGTCGGCATATCAGTTCCTTTGCATTGCAGGGGAACATTAACGCGCTCCGCCGAAGACAGGAAGTGGATAGCGTCACAAACATCCGATGGTGGCGAGAGGCGACGAAGACGAAACGACGATCCTGGAAAAGAGCAAATAAGAGTGAAGGGTGTTGGCACACAGCCCGAGACGCCGTGTGCTTTCGGTGTGGCTCCGCACGTTCGAACCGGAATCGCGTGGCCTCGCCGTGGCTTTAAACCGGACGGATGGAGAAGAGTAGCTCAGTCCAAGAGTTTAGTTTAGTTTACACCCTCCACATGCGGCTCTCTTTGCAAGCTCTACGTTGTGCGGGGACCGAGTACAGGTTTACATTTCGGCTTTTACATTCCCGACTATTCTCACCTTAACTTCAAATGCTGGGGCCTCGCTTAATAAGCGTAGCGTGCAGGCGGCGGCGGTGGCGGAGGCGGCAGTCGCGGTGCATAGGGGTCCCTGGGCCGAGGAATTCCGTACGGTGGGACCCGGGAAATGGGAGCGATACGTGAGCGCTCGTAGGCATAGCCGTTACCGGCAGGAGGAACGGGCGCGTTTGGCGCTCTGCGGTGGGGGCTGCGATCTCGGCCGTAATACGCCGACGGAGGAGGTGGGGGAGGCGGCGGCGGGCGACCCTCGTACGGGTCGAGCGGGTTCATGAGACGGTCTCGCGTAACGCCGGGAGGGGGAGGAGGCGGCGGAGGCGGTGGCGGCGGACCGCCCGGACCCATGCCGTAAGGACGGGCTCTGTACTTTTCGTAGTAATCGACCACACCGTAACCACCCCGATCGCCCTCATAAGGACGCTCGGGGTACATAGCTCGCCTGGGAGGAGGTGGTGGCAAAGGCGGGGCGGGGTAACCGGGGCCCATAGGGCGACCTCTCATGAAGCCTGGTGGGGGGGGCTCGGGCCTGTTTCCTGGGAAAGGTGGAGGCCAAAAGCCACCACCGTCTGGGGGAGGAGGGTACTCCTCCTGCTCTTCACGGGGGCGACTTTTCGAAATCTGCACGTGGATCCGTTTACCTGGATGCAATGCAACAGGGGGAAAAAAGCTTAAACTCAGACAACGATCAGTGTGACACAGGCACGCCATGTGGAGCACTTACCGTTAAATTCTGTATTGTCAATTCCCTGGATGGCATCCATGGCCTCATCAGAATTTGGCATGTGCACAAATGCAAAATTTTTAATAATGGCACATTCCGTGACCTTGCCGTACTCTTCGAACAATGCACGGAGGTCTTCATCCATTCCCCTTTCCACGTTGGCCACATGCAACTTAACCGCACCGTAGTTCTTCCCGTGGCTGGCCTCCACGTTAATTGGCGAGCCGTGGAGCTTGTGGAGGTGCAGGGCTTTGATGGCTTTCGTCGCGGCCTTGCGATCATCCATGTGGACGAACGCGAAGTTTTTGACGATAGAACATTCCGTGACTGTGCCGTGCTCCGTGAAGAGTGCCTGGATTTCCTCCTCGGTTGCCTCTTGGGGCAGATTCCCGACAAATATCTTCACCATGTTAAACGATCTGTTTCAAAGTGTAAAAAAAAAGGGAAAAAAGTATCGTGCTATGTGTGGGGCTTATGTATGCGTGGGCAGCATGAACACTTTGAGAGGCGGTGGATCATCTTCGATGAATGGAGGCGGTAAATGGCCCCTTTGTCTCCGCAAAATGGCTGCCATTCATTCAACCCGGGGCAAATTTTTACATCAATATCCAAACTTTGTGTAATGCGAATTTTCTGTCATTCTCATTGTGTTTTTTCATCATTAGTGCAGCTTGTCATTCAAAGATAGGCTTTTTAATAGTTTCATTTTCAGAAATATTAAGCCACTCTCACGCTAACCGAATGCGTTAGCTTCGGCTAGCGTGCTAATAGCATAACGTTTTTGAAAGAACCAAAGCATGTACAAACGACCAGAACACAAACGAAAAGCTGTAAAAACCTTTTGTGGAAAAACTATATAAAAGCATTTCAAATATGTTAAAGATTTCAGAGTTGTCGCCTACCTTTTGTTACCAGCAGCAACCGGCGGCCCTCACTAATAAATAACCCCACTTCCGCTTCTTGCTGAATCTGAGTCTTTACACACTGCCCTCTATTGTTCGGAGGATGGAAATGGGTTCATCAATGTAACGGTATAGAAACTAATATAATTACGTAATCAATATTTCAGTCGTCAGCAACCGGGTGTGGTTCACCTCGGTCCTATTATGCGTATTTTAAATTGACCTCCCTGATGTAACTCACAGAAAAATGTAGGTACGACTTGTCGTTGGATTAATGTGTAACTGTTACTTCCTTTGACCACTTTGCGTGGTCGCGAATTTTCCACCCTTTAGCCTGGTTTCAGAGGCGCATTAATACTGTATTGTCTATTCTAAACCACTATGTGCGAGGCAAAAGTTAGTTTTGTGTTCCATGCAACAGAAACATCAAACACTGTTCCAATGCAATAAAAAAAAAGACCCACTAATATTGTATATTCTAAACCACTATGTACGAGGGAAAAGTTAAAGTTTTGTGTTTCGTGTAACAGAAACGGCAAACACATTTCCAATGCAATAAAAAAAGACCCACTAATGTATACAGTATTCTCAACCACTATGTACGAGGAAAAAGTTGAAGTTTTGTGGTCCGTGTAACAGAAACGTCAAACACTGTTCCATTGCAATGAAAAAAAGACCCACTCAAACAGCTTTTTCAATTCTATATTCTGAATACAAACAAAAAATGGTTGCAGTTCACCTCAGTACTGTACAGTAATCCTTTTCTGCGGCGCTGTTGTAAAACTTTTTTCCCAAATTGCACTTCAACGCACCACATCGTCCCTCAAACCCCTCCCCTGTCTCGCGGGGTGGCGACTTTAGGAGGAACTCTTTTTCCCCAAGAAAGCGTTGTGCAACAGTTTTGTTTCTGCTTATTCTCAACGCAGAAAACGCGCTAACAAACAGGTGCGAACCTAAGGTAAGACCAACACATTTCCAGCGTACAAATGCTGCTTAGCTCTCATCATATGTCAACTCTTTCCACAGATTTCCTCACAATGAGTGTGTCCCAGACAATGGAGACAGAAGAGGACCTCCTGACGTGCCTCCGCATCAAGTTCTACCACCAACAGCAGCAACGCAAAGGTCTTTACAGTCTTCTTCCACTGGGCAACAGAAGCAAACATTTGGCAGATGAGTCTATCCGCTTGGGGCGGGATGCCCAGTCTTGCACCTTTGCCTTGGCTGACGCCCGGGTCTCTCGCAAACAATTGGCCCTGCAAGCTTATCGCACAGCCGATAGCCCAGACTTGCTGTTCAGCCTCCAGAATCTGTCTCAGACAGTCAAAGTGTCCGTGAACGGCACAGGCCTGGACTTTTTGGAAAGGGCGGATCTCCCGAGCAAGGCCCTGGTCCGTTTCGCCGAGTACGAGATTTTGATTATCAGGGAGGCCGGTGAGGCCAAGCAGAGTTTCGAGGTGGAGCTGGAAGTGCTCGCTGTGCCTCCTTCCAGAGACACAGGCACAATGGTCAGTACCTTGCCCGTCATGGACACAGGCGCATCTTTGATATCCCACCAACAAGAAGTTCAGGTCCCTTTGGAGACAGATGAGACGCTCATGTTCAGCTGACTTGACAATTCACCATCTTTTGGGACATCTGATACGCTGTAGATTTTTTAAAAGCATCACTCCAGTACTGTTTTATACTAACCGGGAAAAAATGCTCTGTAGTGCAGTGATCAAATTAAAAAAAAAAAAAAAGTTCTTGTAACCTATATATCATGTAACCTTATACTCATGTTTTTGTCAACACTCCTTAAAAGCACTGAAGTGGCAATTTGTGACTTGTAACCTATATATCATGTAACCTTATACTCATGTTTTTGTCAACACTCCTTAAAAGCACTGAAGTGGCAATTTGTGACAGCAACCATTGTGACTTTTTTCTGCCATTTCACCCCTTCCCCCAAAAAAATAATCATTCACCATTATTGAATGTAAGCACATCTTTATCTACACAGAGGACAAAGTGCAGTCATAAAAAAAACAACTTGTCAAATCTTAAAATGTGAACATTGTCCATCAACCTCCAAACGGTGCAATAAAATATTGACGCGTTTAATTTGAAAGATGCAAGTTCATTCCGGATGATGACTTCATATTCATTTCTCCCTGAAGTTGAGGCACAAAAACTGTTGCCTATCAAAAAAAGGGGTACCCCAAAAAGTTCTTGGAGTGCATATTCCATCATAAAAAAGGGCACGTCACTGTGGCATAGTCTACGTATAAACTCGAAATGTTTCGTGTTGACATCCCTGAGTAGTGAATGTCTCGCATGAACAAAAATTCTCTCTTCAGCAAGCTTCAATTGCGAGGTCATCGGATCCCCAGGTTTCCTTCAGCGCACGTCTCTCAAAACCCCGCAGACTCTGAATCGAGTCCCAGCAGTAGACAGGCCTGCAGACAAAATGGAAAAGCTCATTTACAAACAGCCAACATCCACCAAGAAACTGAGAAAACCAGCTGAGCTAAGACGAAACTCAAAGTGATCGCTCTCCCTACCATGAACTCGACGTCCCCGGGCGAGTCTAACAACCTAAAAAGAGCAAAGACTGAGAACACCAAGACATAAATCCATAGAGGGTTTCATCTATTACAGATCAAATCACTGCAACAGCTGACCGGCTATGAAGTGAGTGAGCATTTAATGAGTAGGTGCCGAAAGATCATGAAAGAGCCTCGTCTAATCGCATGCTTATTTTATTAGGCGCCAAAGGAGGGAGTTTTGTCACGTGTGCGACCAGAATTGAGACAAAACAAGTCATTTCTCAGCATTGGGGCTGACCACACCTACCCGCTGTCGAGCTTCAAACCGGCCGGAGGACTCATAGCGAAAGCATCTCCACGCCGTGATTATGATCTCTGCCTGCGACGGACGGGCAATGACTTGACAGCTAAAACTCGTCACGTTTGTTTTCATCTTTTTATTAAAAAGCCTTCAAACGAGAGGGGGGAAAAAAAGGCAAGCTAACTAGAACCATACACAACTTTGCTATATCAGCGAGGGAAAACAGACAACAAGAGCATCAAGAGAAAACTAAAATTTTGATTTGACATGCGTACAGGTCGCACAAGTAATCCACTATTTTATAAAACGACACAAGTGTAGATGTGTATCGAGAAACACTCCCGACGCTTTTTTTTTTGTTTTTGTAACTTATCGGGAAACCAAACTCAAGTCTACACAAAAGCTACTTTTTTACAAAAGATTGAACATACCATCTTAACTGATGGTTGTAATGGCGTTATTCTACGGCCATGTGAATTGAAAAAGATCGAAAAGCAGTGTAGTAATGCGTCACACCGAACTAAGCACTGTAACTCAAAAAGTAAGAATTTGAAGAGTAACACAGAGGAACAGAAAAGGCATTGACAACTCATATATACGTAAATGCAACAAGGAATCGCATGGTTTTTTTGTTTTTGTTGTTTTTTTATAAGAACGTCGCTGTCCGCAATAGAGTATCTTCCAGTAAGTCTCCGGCGAACGCAACGCAATCCACCATAGACGTGCGGGAGCGGGGGGAGCGTATAGCACCATGCGCATCAGCAGACGGCGTTCTTGACATATTCTAAACCTGGAGAGAGAGAGCATACCACACGTCAAGGAAGGGGTTTTACTCAAGATACACGCAAGACTGCTATGTTCTTTCGTGCTTTCTTTCTTTTTTTTTTTTAATCACAGCATACCTTTTTACGCTTGCTAACACTGAATGGATGCTTCGATTAGATCTGAGCGACTTTTGACGGGTGATGTTCTGAAACGGAATTCGACTTCATACGCGTCTTTTATCGACTAGTTTGGTTTGGACTATTCGCACACAAACCCCGTTTTTTGCTCACGCGTGAAGCCACTCACCGCAGCGTTAAACTCCCTGGGCCGGATAGCCAGTGTAGTTGGGTTGCGGCGGTGCAGGAACGGGACCGGTTGGTGTATAGTTGTTCCGGGGATACGGCGGCGCATACGGCTGAGGTTTCATCTGCGGGGTGAAGCGGGTGCGCTCGTAGGAGTACCCGTTACCGGCCGCCGCAGCAGGCGGGGGAGGAGGATGGGGGGGTCGCCTAATGGGGCTGCGGTCGCGGGCCATGTAGGGCGCTGGGGGAATTGGCCGACGGTCGTACCCTTCGTGGGAGCCCATCCCAACACGTTCTCTTCCCATCGCTGAAGGTGGGGGTGGTGGCGGCGGTGGTGGGATGGCCCCAGGACGCCGATCGTCGTAGCCCGGGGCGCCATAAGGACGGGCGCGGAATTTCTCGTAATAATCCACCACTCCGCCGCCATAGCCTTCACGCTCACCGTAGCCGCGGTCGTACATTGGTCGCCTCGGAGGAGGCGGCGGTGGGGGTGGGGGCGGGTAAGAGGACATGCGCCCCCCGTAGGGAGGCTCGGGATGGAAGCGGGGAGGATGAGGAGGGGGATAGAAGCCTCCTCGACCAGGGGGTGGCGGACCAAACTCCTCTTCACCCGAAGCCCATGCGGGCTTACTTTTTGACAGCTGCACATGAATGTTTTGTCCTGGAGGAAGACGGGGAAATGGAGATTAACACTGGGGTGTCACATTTCAACCGTGAATTGGGTTTTTCACTAAACATAAAACAAATGCACATTATGATAGTGTTATGTTATATTTAGTGTATTGTGATATTTGATTTACTAATCTTCGTGTAAAATCTTTAGCTCTAAGTGCAGGTGACCACTAGGTGCCACTGTCAAGTTTGAGTCATTCCTCAAGCCCCAACGAGCGTCACGAGCCTTCATCAGGCTTCTCTGGCAGGGTAGACCTATTCTCCGAACTCATGTTTTGACTGTAAACTCTAAAATTGGCTTACCTTGAAAACTTGTGTTATCCAAGCCTTTTATGGCATCCATGGCTTCCTCAGAGTTGGCCATGTGAACAAACGCAAAATTCTTCACGATAGCGCACTCCGTGACTGTGCCATATTCTTCGAACAGCTCTCTGAGCTCTTTTTCAAAGCCCTTCTCCACATTGGCGATGTGGATCTTGACCGGGCCCTGGTTGTTCCCTCGGCTGGGCTCCACGTTCATAGGTCTACCGTTTAGCTGATAGAGATTGAGCTCACGGATGGCTTTCGTGGCTGCCTTGCGGTCATCCATGTGTACAAAGGCGTAGTTTTTGTATTTGGCGCATTCTGTTACAGTGCCGTACGGTGTGAACAGTGCCTCGATTTCTTCCCTCCCCGTCTCCTCGGTAAGGTTTCCAATGAACAGCTTCACCATTGTTACACCGCGGTTTGGCCCTACACGTGGAACAGACGACAAAAGTGAACATCTACCTCGAAAAAACGAAGACGACGCAGCTCAAAAGGCCACTGAATAACAATCAAAAAGACCCAAAGGGAGTTTTACGTGTGAGTACCTGCTAAACAATCCGCTTCACAAGCCAATGATAATGCTCGCCACAAAGAGGCTAAGATGTTAGCCACTTCCTGATTAGCAATATCCCAACGGTTGCTATTAGCAAGCTAACATTAGCATCGCGCTACAGTGGAGCGAAATGTGGCTAAAGACTAAGTAACTCCAGATGATTTATTGCTCTTACGTTTTATGGGTTTGGGATATGCAACACCTTTAACACAGATGATGTTTAAAACGATTAAATAAACCAACCGTACTCTCTAGTTGTCTTCGACAGCCCGCGTTACTACCGAGTCGAAACTGCTAGAATACGTAACTCAAAGGCGCACACCGGCGAACGAATGAAGTTCTTAAATCCGATTGGCAGGTCAACGGGTCGCTCAGAATATCTCGCACGCGATTGGTCAAACAGTAAGCTTCGCTGTCGACTTGGACGTGCGTCATTTCCGATTTCAAAGTCGCCTGGTGTAGCAAGTTAGCAATGAAAGTAATGAATGTGATTCTGAATCCGACCAACAATCATTTCAAAAGCGACTCGCAAAGCTGCAATACGTCAAACATTCACGCCTGCGTTAACGTTAAATGCTCAATTCTCTCACAACGCGTTACAATTAAGAAACACGGTCCTCTCACGTTTTCCACTATGATCCTTTGCTGATGGATGGCTTTAAATTCTTTGTGAACATCATATTATGCCAATGTTTGAAATTGGGCATTACAACAGTGTGTGTGTGCGCGCGCGCGCGCGCGCGAGTGAGCGAGTGAGAGAGACTGGTTCGCCCGCTGGTTCACATTGCAGAGGTGCAGGGTTCGATTCCGGCTCTGGCCTCCCCGTGCCTGTGTGAGCGCAAATGTGTGGCCTCGTATGTGTGTGCCCTGAGATTGGCTGGCAACCAGTTCAGGGTGTACCTTGCCGACTGCCCGAAGACACCTGGGATAGGCTGCAGCACGCCCGCGACTCTCGTGAGGATAAATGGGTCCGTTAATGGATTGAGAGATATATACACACACGCACACACACACAAAATAGAGGGGAAGAAAAATAAATTATGGAGAAAGTAGGTCGGAGCTGCTGCAAGAGCCAGCCGACGTTGAAATACGAATATCACAATGCATTATTCATATCAATCTATTCTGGTTCGGTGTTGGATGGGGATGTATACTTTGTATTTGTACCTCCGTTTGATGTCCAGGAGAAAGCGCCACAGGCAACTTGGCTTCAAAGAACCATCCTGACTTTTTCCCACTCAAATTTGACGGCTTTTTTGCCAAAATGAAAATGAATTTTCATGTTGCAAATTTAAACTTGTTTCCTACCTTGTTAAATCACACATGATTTGGAACTGTGAAGACCAATCATTAATAGGAACCCAGGGGGGGAAAAAAGGGTGAGTTTGTCAAACTTGTATACCAAATAATGAAAAGTCCTTTATTGCCATCAGTACACGAATGCAGACAAAATCTGACAAGAGAAGTGAACTGTACAACCATCATACGCGCACACATACAAAGTGCAGCCAGCAGTCTTTCAACAGGACATGAGGGTTACAGATACAGGAGGGAATACAGTACTCACACAATGAGGTATCAATGTACACAAACTCGCACACATGCAACTTAAACAAAACGGTACAAGTGCTCTCTCACACTCTTAAAAACACAACACACAGGTGAGCAGTAATGCCAAACAAGCAGCATCCGAGTCATCTCGCTGCAACCGCGCTCGCGTTCGTCTGCCCTCTTAATTAAAACCTTTGGTCATACGGATGCTAGCCTGTTATGCCCAAACGCTGCCCGGCAGACTGTGGAAGTTGCGAGCCAGGGAACCAACAACTGCCTTTCTCTTGCTCGACTCGGACATTCAGTGTGTACGTTAGCAGCGATTCTATTGGATGAAACCAATGGCTTTGTAAGTCCCGTTTCCAACACCCTCCCTTCATGCACAGGACAGGCGCCCCCCTACTAATGGTTAGCCTAAGTGTCATGCAAGTTAGAAAAATAGACTGCAAACCCACAAGACCGAGAAATCAAAAGTTCATCTCCAGAGTAGGGGTTGATTTCACTTCCATTTTTTATTTTGTATTTTCTAAGATGTGGAAATAGCAAGAAAAAAAAAATAAGCGGGAACCAAGACAACAGTAACATGAGCAAAGAGCCACTGAGGGGCCCCCCAGCTCTGAGTCCACTCGCCCAATCCAAAACGGACACCCTGTGTTGCGGCCCCCTACGCTTGTGCCAGGCGGGCAATCGCCTGTTCTCGCACGTGGTTTTTGTGTGTGTTGGCGTATGTGGCTCTCATCTCATCTGAAGCTGTCCCAGTCCCACAGTTCTTCGTCCCCACCAGGCCTTGCGCAACGGCAGCATACACCCGCAAGAAGGCGGTCGCCCCCCACATGTGCACCCGGAGCCGCGCGCCGCCCGTGGTTTGTCGAGATCGCGGCTGGAAGCTAGCGCTATTTCTCATTTATTGTCTACGGTTGAAGTCTGCAGTTTGTCACATTTAGAAAGGCGTCCCGGCCACCACTTTGGGATGTCAAAACGGGTTGTCTGACGCATCACCTCAACCCCCGTCGCTGTTTCAATTAGGATGCCTTGGGATGGGGATAAGGCCCCGGGCTGTGTTACGTATTCAGCCCTCCATTTTCTACGCTTCTGTGTTGTCCATTCTATTTGGAATGAGGAAAGTGCCTTGAAATCAGGTCGTTTGGCACCGAACTTGTGCGCCCTCAACCCCAAGCCACTCCCTCTAGTACTACATCTTCCTCACTCTAACACTCCCTCAGTCAGTCAATCAGTCAGTTCTCTCCTAGTAAAAAAAAAAAAAAAAAATCACTTCCCAACTTTCCTCCCAAGATGAAAACAAAAAACTTTTTTTTTTCGAATTCAAGGCACAACATCAATCAATATTCCAGCCTCTGAGTTTGAGCACTGCGACGCATCTGCTTTGTGTGTCACTCGCCACAGTTTACACCCTCTCGCGCCCGCACTGCAACGCTGTTAAAAGAAACGTCTGAGACTGCCGAGTCCAAACCAGTGATCAACAATGAAAGAAAACAACGAAAGAGAGACGAGATAATCTAGTCCTTTTTGTTGTGTCTCAGCATTTTCCTTCAAACTCAAGTCATACCCACCAGTTCTTTTTTTGGCAAGCTACTTTTTTTGTTTGTTTTGTTTTTTTTAAATAAGCACTAAGTACTGATAGATAAGATATAGCATACACCGTGGGTTTTTCATGTAGATGCGTCGTTTTTTGTTTTGTTTTTTTTCCACTCTCATAGTATGGATTCAGGAATTGTGTCAGGTACTTTTCACTCATCTGTTTAAGGTTTACGTTAATGCAAGCAGGGACAGTTTGCCATGGAGTCTTGCTCGAGACTTGGGTTCGCGAGGAGTGAGGCGGACTCATTACGAGACGCCGTTGACCAACGTTACAGCCTCGCTGGCTGGTGTCGTGCCTTTGCTGGGTGAACGCTTAGAAGGTGTTTGCTCATCCGTTTTGCTGCTGGTCCCATTTTCCTGTGTGTAGAAAAGAAGAAGAAAAAAAGGGTAGCAAACTGAGCATGGTTCAATAAGTTCCATACGCATAATTTGTAAACATTTTTTGCCTGTACCTTGGGTTCAGGACCGGTGTGGTTTTCCTTCAAGGGAAGGTTCTGTCTGCTCTGGGACTCCGGACGGGATATGTAGTCGGCGACAGTCACTAAATCATTGAAGTAGTTTAGAACAAATGCTGGAGTCTCGTGTGCATGCGCTGACAGGAACTGATAAAACTAGGGATGGCTGAGTACTGATCCCCCGGAATCGGTATCAGGCCGATACCGGCCTTATTTCAAAGTGTTGGGGACTCGGCGGCCAATACCAAGGTGACCATTTCACTATCAGGAACTAAATGGCACGCATGCCTGACAGAACGTTTTTCAAAGTGAACCGTATCCATGTCAAATTTCTCACATGCCCATTAAAATGCCATTTCTGTAAATATATGTATGCTGATAAGATTCTTACTAGGATTAACATCCTTAATTAAATGGGAACTTCTGGGTTTGGGTAGATACGACGCAGCCGTGCCAACTGCAAAGCGAAAGCTCATACGGGCAAAGTGTTGCAGTGTTCCATGTTCGTTTTGCTGTTGACAAAACGGTAAATTTCATCCACATTGATTGAGAAATGAGTGAGGAAAGTTTTGATCAATTTTAAATTGCCTTTGATGGGAACGTCGCTGAGCTGGGCTGCTACTGCGCGTGACATCACGGGAGTTAAAGCGCGTGTACTTTTGTAACTTTCTAAGAGCTAGCCTGTCAATGACGTGATAGAACGTGGGTCCATTAGCATTAGCATCTAGCTTTGTTGCATTCCGATCACCGTAAAAGAAAGCCTTCAATCGCCACAAAGAGTTGGACACATTCGGGTTTGGTCGGTGTAGTAATCTCAGCAATGAGTCTTGCATTTTTTTAATGTCTTCACCTTATTTACAGCTCAGCACGAGGTAATTACATGTGTGTCAGATTTCCTTTCTTCTCCTTAGTCACATACTCCATTGTGTCAGTGCCCCCCAGTGTTCACACCGAGAAACCACAGTTGAATTAACCAGTGTCTTCCAAACGAAATGACAAACGTGTGTTGCTAAAACCGTGGTTCAACGGTAGGCATTACTCAATGTTATTTGAAGCACCGTTGTATTCAATTTAAGTCTTGGCACCTCACTGTATTCCTTGAAAACAAGTTGCACGACCACATATTCTGACTGGGACTATTTTTTTGGCTACTGGGTCACTTGTGTTTCTCTTTATGTACGTAATGAACAAATGGATAAAAGAAAATTGCCATTAATTTCATGCAATTTTAACAAAAATGCTTTATTGGTTATGTGCAGGTCCTTATTTGAAATGATCTGTCATTGGTTTGAATAGAAATTTTATGTATTAAAAGTACTGGTCTTGGGGGTGTGGGGGAGCAGTGTCAAACATCCCAAGATAAAACATGCCAGCTTACCGCTATCAGTCGGCTGCCGATCGCAGCTGGCCGAGTCTCCCTCGGGACGACCGCCGCGGTTGCGGCGGCGGCGGCTTCGGTTGCGGCGCTGGGGTCGGGCCTCTTCATCTAAACGCCCGACGAGAGCATACAAGTCAAGGGTTTTTGCACCTTTAGTCTCTGCGGGGTCGAGAGAACGCCGGCAAATTTCTCACCCAGCCCGTTCTCACTGGGCCCGGCCTGGCTGTCGGACTCAGCCGCGGCGTCCATCACGCTGGGCTCCTGGTCGTTACGGCGGCGGCGGGAGCGTCTCCGGCGCTCTCCTCCCGTGCCTTCGCTGAGGTCCGCGTCAGCCAGCTCTCCCTCACCATCCAGCAGGGCGTAAGGGTTACTGTCGGGGTCCCTCAGCACTGGAGATGCCAAAGCACAGCCGTTTGAAACGACAC